TATATATATATATATATGGGGCGTTCTCTGTTAAATTGGCCATCTCTTTGCCCATTTTAATTCTTGAGAAAAAATTCTTTAAAAGGGCTTAAAATTTTCTTTGACATGTCTATTTTTCGATGCCGTATGGCATTTTTGAAAATTCGAAATGGACCCAAAACGACGATTGGAATAAAAAAAGCATTGGAAAAATTAATAATATCGTAAATAAACGTGCATGATATGATGAAGAGGTCTTTGGGCTCCTATTTTTGAAAAGAAAATATATGTAAACTAGGAAATTACTATACTATAGGTAACATATACTATTGTATTTTCCTAGTTTTACGTATACATTTCTTTTCAAGAATAAAGGCCCTCTGATTCTTTGTAATATTTCTTAGTAGTATTTCTTATAAGGTAATATAAAGCTTCAACATTTATTAAATTATCATATTATTATCCTGTAGAAATTCTAAATTTTACCGCACAATAATACTCTTACCGTAAATTTTTTTCGCGACGTACTTTCTCGGGAAGAGAATGATCGAATTAAAATTTGAAATTTTGTGCAAATGCTTGGTAATTAGTGGATATCGTGTTACAGATGAATGATTGATTTCAACGTAAGTAATTCGTTTTGACACGCACGCGCATGCACGCACGCACACGAATTAGATCTCAACATCACATTGTTCGCGTTTATTTACGATATCATTAATTTTATCAATGTCAGACTTTTCAAGGAAAATTTTAAACCCTTTTATAGAATTTTATCTCAAGAATTGAAATGAGCAGGAGATGACCGATTTAACACAGAACATCATATATATATATATATAAAATATCAATATTACACATCGCGGATATTTTGTATATAACTATATTTTATATAAATATTACATTCCAAAATTTTACTTTATACAGGTACTATTCATACGCATAAAATGTGTATTTGTAAATTATAAAACATGCAGCGAGTTTTGAAGAAGGAATTTGACAACATTGCAATTAAACATAATCACATATTTATTACAATAGAAAAAATTTATAATAACATCTTTATTACTTTTAGATAATTGACCTCTTTACAAACATTATGGTAGCAACTACAGTATACTTTGCAGACTCAATTGCATTAAAAGATACATTAATAAATACGCTACTTGTAGCACAACCGACTGTTTTCCTAGGAGTGCCAAGAGTGTGGGAAAAAATATATGAAAAGATGCAAGAGAAAGCACGTAGTAACGGCGTAATAAAAACCTGGATTGCTAAATGGGCAAAAGCACAAAGTCTTCATTATTACACGAATAAAATGAATGGCATAGATTATAAACACTGGGGCTACGTCTTTGCAAAATGGCTTATTTTTGACAAAGTCAAAGTAGCAATGGGTTTGAATAAGTGCCACCACTTTGTTACCTCAGCAGCACCCATGAACATCGATATTAAAAAATATTTCCTAACTTCAGACATACCTCTATTAGAGGGGTATGGAATGTCTGAATGTAGTGGGGGTCAAACATTAAATGACATTAATAAATGCAGGTAAATTATATTTGCTTTTATTTGTCATATTGAATTTACAAAGATATTTATGTTCAAAATATCTTGTTAACAATAAATGTTATTCTCATTTATTAGCATGGATGGTGTAGGGAAACCTTTACCTGGGTTATATACAAAGCTAGACAATATAAATGAACATGGCGAGGGAGAGATTTGTATGAGTGGGCGACATATATTTATGGGTTATTTAAATGCACCGGAGCAAACAAAAGAAGCCAAAGATAAACATGGCTGGTTGCATAGTGGTGATCTTGGCAAATTCGATTTAAATGGGAATTTGCTTATTACTGGTAAACATTCATTTTGCACCTAGTATTACTCAATAATACTTATTAAAAATAATTATTACGAATGGGTTATGTCAACAAGTATAATGTATACCGTACCCAGTAAAAGCTATAATAATGCTTAAGGGTATATTTATAAGATTATTTTGAGACGAACATTCTAATACAAAAATGACAAAGATGTAATAATTTTCGAATCACAAACATTTAAAGTTAGCAAATAATAAAGTAAATTATAAAGTACGCGCTTTTAGGTGTGATTGACATTTTTCGTTGTATCACACCTAAACGCATGAATTTTAGACAGTATTCACTAATTTTAAATAAATTATAATTAAAAAACTATTAGAGCCTTGATATTTTGGTATTAGAATTTGTGACTGAATATTTTTTATGTATTTGCAGGTAGAATAAAAGAACTGATAATCACAAGTGGAGGGAAAAATGTATCACCGAATAATATAGAGCAATCAATATTATCGGAATTACCATACTTAAGTAATGCTATGGTAATTGGAGATCATAGAAAATATTTAGCAGTTCTTGTCACGCTAAAGGTACAATGCGAAAAAATAAAAATTTTTAATTATGAATAATCAAATAATACATTTCTTTTCAGAGTAACATGAATGAAGCAACTGGCGCACCATTAGATACATTATCTCCAAATGTTTTGAAATGGGCAAAGTCTATTGGTAGTAGTTCCAAAACAGTTAAAGAAGTCATAAGCACTCGTGATACAGCCGTAAGTCTTGAAAAAAACTCATAATATTATTTAAAATTGTATAATAAAAAAATGTTTATTTCTTAAGCCCGAATCTCGAGCAAATGAGCGCAAACAAATACAAATATAAACAGCTTTCGTAGTAACAATTTACTAGTATCACATTATTTATATATTGATAATGTATTAAAACGTATTGACAATATTGGATTAATATAGGTCAGTATTGTGTGTACCATTAGAGTTAATTTAATGCAAACAACATTACGAGTACAACAGCATTCGTACTTGTGTTCGTTTAGGTTTAAAACGTTTAAATATTATAAAATGTTTCTTATCTTTTTAGATATACGAAGAAATCGACAAGGCAATTAAAAGAGCGAATATGCAAGCTATAAGTAATGTTCAAAAAATACAGAAATTTGAAATTCTTCCTCATGATTTTTCAATTTCAACTGGCGAATTGGGACCCACACTAAAGCTTAAAAGAAACGTAGTTCAGAAAATGTATGCTAATCTAATAGATAAAATGTATGAATAAAACTATAATATACACAATAAGCATGGCATCAAATAACGTAACATCAATGTTATAATTTCATACTCAATATACATTTTAGCTCACATGTATCAGTACTTTTAATTCCGATAATAGAAATTAATGTTCAAAAAACTGAAATCGAGCACATTTATAATTTTTTTTTTACATGTAAAACATCGAATAATTTATAAACAAAATATATATTTTAATTTAGATTAAAGAACATAAAGAGCATGTTAAAAGTGTTTTAATTGTTTTTTCGTTAACGTAAAGAGAAGTTCCATGGGATATATATTATATATCTTATTAGAGGGCTACTTAAACAAAATTAAATAGTATATTATCTTGGAGAAATATCGAGACATATCGTTAGAAATAGAATAATGCCATCACACATTTATTAATAAAAAATTTTGTAAGTAAGATGTTACGGAAATTAAGCAAGATTATAAATATTTATTGTTTATATTATATGCATTATACAGTGAGTACAAAAAGTATTCGTACAGAGAAAAAATTTTTTTAGAAAAACCATTTTTTAAATGTAAACCTTATCTAGCGAGAAATGACTAATCGAATTGATGTCGACACAATATCGATAAATTGTTAACAATGATTTTGACACAAATTCGGTGTTGATTCAACGTCTGATTGATGATTATTTCTTACTGGATGATTAACAATGTTTATTTTTTATAAATAAGGTTTTTTTTTAAATTTTCTTTGTACGAATGTATTTCCTACTGAGAAAACAATGCTATTGATTCAATTAAAATGCAGTTGATTCAATTAAAATCTCTATCACGGGCTGTCACTAACATAAGTAATTAATTCATGTGCATTTTTATTGATACAAAGACCTTGATTATTGAAACAATAATAAAAGTCTTTGTATCAATAAAAATTTACATGAATTAATTACTTATATTAGTGACAGCCCGTGATAGAGATTTTAATTGAATCAACAGCATTTTTTTACGAATACTTTTTGCACTCACTGTATTATATTTGGCCTGTGATTTATGAAAAATTTGTTGAACTGGTATACATGACGCAATAAGTTACACTAAAAGAAATATAATTTATTTATTTCACTTCAACTTATTACATCATGTGTACCAGTTTACGAAGTTCATTGAAAGTTATTTTCATTAATTGTCTTCTTTAATTAATCGTAAATAATTGTTGTATGCTTCACGAAACACTGTAACTACAAGTTACTATTCGGTATATCTATATAATATTTAGTCGCGTCATGTTATGTTAATGTTCGTTATTTTATATATCATAGCTTCGTTAAATCTAGAGTTGTTAACAAAAAAATTGTATCTTCTTTTAGAGAATTGAATCAAAATCAAACATATTGAATCGTATTTCACGTATTAGATATCTATTTATGTACAGCGTTATCAACATAGATATAGTCTAAGTTCTTAGTTAATAGTTAGTATTGCGAGAACTGTCGTGCGATACGGAGTGAAGTAAGAACTAAAGATAATTAATACTTTAGCCAAAATAATCCATATATATCTCCAATATTTGTACTAACTATAATTATAGTTATTTTAGGTTGCTATAACTACATATACGTATATATTTTTTGTTAGAACTGTATATATAGTTATTGTTACTAATGTGACATAGTAAATAATAATCATAATTATAGTAATTATAATTAAACAGTAATTTACGATCGAGAATATAAGAGTTCAAATATGGCTAGTTAAACTACGTTTAGGTAGTTATTTCTTCATGAGTCGCGTGCGGTAATATAAAGCCAAAAATTATACAATGTTGGATTTCTTGAAAGACATGCATACATGTATTCTATACTTGCTCTGATGCATACTGTAACATTCATACATAGAGCGCGGCATGTTGATATGCACGACTTCTGCATTTATTATGCGTTACTTCATAACTTGTTTCCTTGCATGCTTCAATCAAAAGATTAAAAATTGTCATGTGATTGAGCAGACGATTGTCTGCGATTGACAGCACCTTCAGAATAAAAACAACTGTACTAATTTCGTAGTTATCTGTCAAACGTCAGACTGCATGCAACAAAACGAACGTAGCAGCATACATGCGTACTTATAATTTAAAAAATCGAGCATCGCGTGTGATTCTAGCTTTAGTGGGCGCTGATAAGCGGATTTCAACGTGCTTTCACAGGTGACCATTTAAGCATGTAATTTATAATATAATGAGATGACCATTTAAATCTATATCTCAAAAACTATTACTGAAAATAAAAAATTACAATTAACTTTTCAATTTAATTTTTTAAGTTTCTTGCTAGTATTTTTAGTTGTAAATTTTGGAAACATCTATATATTTATATCTATATCTTCTCTATAGCTTCAAATTGATGAAATTATATAAACTTGTCTCTTTTCTATAATATAAAACTTAAAAATTTAACGATTCTTTGTATAGATATATGTGGATAAATAATTTGTTTTTCTTTTTATCAAAATTGTGAAATAAATCGGAAACGAGAAATGTTGCAGATGAAAAATACAACTCGTACTTAACATTGCAAATATAAACATAAATCATTAATTGCGGTATTTTTTTAAATCTGACAGCATTGCTTTTTGCGCAATATTCGCAGTATTCGTCAAGCTATTTTTTTAGCAACTTTTTACATTTAAGAAAAACATTATTTTCTTCAAAAGTTAGAATCTCTATCATTTAGCGCAATTACATATAAAATTATGACGTCCTTGTGACATAATTCTCACAGTCAGTCCAACAATAAAGCATTTAATTTGTGGAACACGTCTTTCACAAAAGTTAATGTGGATAAATAACATCGTTGTACGTTCGTTTATGACAAAATTAAAGTATCGTACGATATGAATCACATATCGTAATAAAAAAATCAATCAATCAAAATCCTTTCTTTCTTTCCATTTCACGGAAAAGAGGAACTTTGATTGATTAATTCTCTTATGCAAAAGTCTCTGCTACGACATTAAAAAAGAATGTTACGTGATTGATACCCAGCAAGAAGCAATCAGATACTGACCTACTTTATTAAAAAGTTCTCGCTATTGAGGATAAAGGAAGAAGGGGAAAGAAGACAGAGATCACAGACTTTATAAGTATAATATAGACAGGTAATTGATATAGTGTCTGCAAAGAAACATCTGGAGAAGATTGAAGAGAAAAACATACCCTCCTTTCAGGTAGATATTTTTCTTTCTAAAAATGTCCAGAAATGTACATTGCACATGTCAATTAAACGTATAGTGCGTTAATATTATATCAGAATTAAAAATGATATAATCATGATGAAGCACACAAATTAAGATATTTTTTAAATATAATATGCAATAATTAAAATATACACAACTAAAATTTTAAATTGTAAAATCGTAAAAAAGAAGAATTTTTTAACAAGCTCAATCAACGTCAATTCGACTGAATTAACGATCAGTTTTCATTACGGATTAAGCATATACGATGTCAGGCATGCATAAATATATTTCTGAATTTTTCTAAAAGGAAAAGTACTAACACAGTCTTGTTTGTGTTGCCAATCCATATGCGAAAAGCTCACATGTATAAAATAACAAAAGTATATGAGAAAAGAATTGCCGAAACTGTGATGCGGCCGATTAATTCGATCAATTTTAGCTGAAAACCGGAAAGATATATATAATTATTATGTTATACCCATTAAGTTACACATATAACTTATTATTAGATGTAGATAAATGACGGCGCATCCTTTTGGCAAAATCCTTTTTTCTACATCTTCAAATCAGTACATATAGAATTTCAGGCACACAGTTTAACCTTGAACAAAACACAAAGAATTTTCATTTCTATATATCAAAAACTGAATTGAAGTACATAAAGATTTTTTAAAATATTTATTTTTCTCAAAATGACGCAGTTGTTTTACAAAAAATGCAAATATTTTATAAAATTTCTACTCTTTTGAAAAAAAATAATGTTTTAAAAAATCCTTATTAATGCCATTATCAATAGGCATTAGTCTAACAATTTACAAAATCGCATCACAGTTACGATTTGTTTAAATCGTTTAAGTTATCTAGTGTTTTCATCTTTTTTTTTAGTTGTATAAATAAACGCGCTACTGATTCTAAGGTAGCGTTTCGATATTTATGTTAAAAATTTATAGTGCGCGTAAAGTGTACTATAAATTTTTAGTTCTAGCGGTAATATCAAAATGCAGCCTATATATGACTTAGTTATTTATTTACTGACTATGTATTTTGCTGAGTGGTGATGTGACTCAGCATATAGATATCTATTTATGAGTATCAGTTTTCTCAATAGTCTAAAACATTAATCTTCAGTCTTCTTAACAAGAACATCCAAGAAAGGAAGTCTTCGATTTTCTTCAATGGTAAAGCAAATAATGGATTTTTTATGAAAGTACATACTTAAAGAAGTCACTATACGTTATATATGTAAGTAAATCAATATAAATTTGTTATGGCTTTACGCAATCTCTATTCTGATTGACCAATTCGCTTAGTACCTAAACTGTTTGTGTGTTATGGTCCTTAACGGGCCTTTCAAAGCTTCATCACAATGACCGCAACAATAGAATAGCTCAGACAAGTACAAAAGGTTTTGGATTTTTCCAAGTTTCAATGAAACTACTTCTATCGTGTATATGTATAAAGGAATATGGTAGTGTCACTACGCTTATCTTAACGCCGGTCTCTCGGGTCTCTGCGAGAGACCGGCGTTAAGATAAGCGTAGTGACACTAATTTCCTAATTCAAAAGTTTTACGAGTACACATATTTACAAGATTTATGAAGTAGGATCATTCGATTGTTTTGTATAATGAGACTTTAGCTCGTATGTATCGTGTAAAAACGGATCGAAATAGTATAAAATATAATCGTGTACTAAAATATACGAGTAATACAATAGTAACCGAATCTCGAGACAGAGCTAAATTATTAAAGCAAATTATTAAAGTAGTGAAGGCTTTCAAGGAGGTTTCAACAGAGAATAGACAGAAACAAACAGGTTCTTCGAGGTTACAGAAAGAATTTCTATACTACTGTCCAAAAGTATTTACTCATCTCGATTTTTGTACGTATCTGTTTTATACATCTAAATTCCGTTCTAATTCCATTACTATATTCTCTTTATACATTGCATGTACAGAATATCGGATAAGGATAGTAATAACACTTAAGGGTATATTTCTGATAAGATCATTTTGAGCTGGAAATATGTACTAATATTAAAATTTCAAGGCTATAATAACTTTTTAATTCTTCTTCTTTCTTCTTCTTACGTTAGACCTTTGGTCTGTATTACATCCTCTTTCGTATGCTTGTGGTGCGCACGCTGATTATTATTCAATTGTCACAAACATATATGGGACCTACAGTTTTTAATACCGATTTCGAACAGCGGATTTTGTCAAGAGATATTTCTGTGGGTAAGACTACTCTCGGGAATCGAGAGGTTGCCAGTCTTTTCCCAAAGGGGACACGAGCATAAGTATTTTGGTTCCTACCAGGGATCACATGTATGACAGCCTGGTGCACTGTCTGTCATGCTACGCTTTCGTTTAACTTTTTAATTATATATAAGCATTTAAAGTTAACATACATTATGTCACCTAAAGTTCATGTGGGTTTAGGTGTAGTTGACATTTTATATTATGTATATGTGTGTATGAGAGAGAGATAAAGAAAGAATAAACAGAAGGAATAAGAATGCATGAAAAGGCATGGGAAGGCGGCAATTGTGTTCTCGTGTGTACCTAATATATCACATCCAAGCGTGCGAACTTTATTTGAAAGATATTTTTCTCAAAATGATGGTTTTCAAACTGATTCCACGATTTTAGACAAATTAGTGAGCCGATCGTCTTCATATACCATATTCGTCAAATTTAGGAGATAAATACGTTTCTATTAAAGAAAGGTTACTATTAATACTAATAATTTTTACTATTTATTGTACTAATATCTGTCTTTGTCTGTAAAATAATTTAAAGTTAGAAAAGTAAGTTAAACATGAGTATAGCCAAATTTCTCGACAAGTACCGGACATAGGAACAGCTTCTAAATGTTTTTACGATGTCTTTTAGAAGTCTGTGCTGTATGGAGCATAACTTGATTGATTATATTATACAGTGACGTTATAAATTGCAGAGATAATATAGATATTATAGAATTAAAAAATTCCAAAAGTATTTAAAATTATAATATACTAAATATTTATATAATTGTTAGACTAGAATATGTTGGATTATTCATTAGGCGATTGCAATTCCTAAAAATTTTTCTTTTTTAATAATTACTGATATTATCATATTTTCTTTCTGACCTAATTTCCAAATGGCTATTATTAAAACACGAAGTAAGCAGTGTCACGAATTATTATTAAATTCATCAAAAATAAAATGAGTATCATAGTATTGTAACATTTAAGCATTTTAAGCATATTAACATTTATAATATAAACTGAGTGTAAAACTTGTTGCAGGAGATGAATCAACCAGTCAGGTATGCATCATGTAGTGAAACCGGTCTTGATGGTAATTTTGTCATATATTTAAAAAAATTTTTTTACACAGTAACTAAACTTTTCTCTCTCCTCCAACCTTTCTTTCGCAATTGCCAGTACAAATGTTAGTGCATTATTGTTATTTGACCTGCTTTATGTAAACAATTATTTATAAATTTTCTCTACGATAAAATATGCTTTTTTTCAAAATATGCTCTTTTTTTATCCAGCAATTAATGATTTTTCATAAATTTTAATTTTTTAAATAAAAAAACGTAAATATTTATTGTTGGAACATTTTTAGGCCCTGATCAGGTACTACCTACGGACGCAGATATCACGTATAATGCCGATGGCAGAGTACGAATAAAATTAGATAGCAACAGATTCAATTCACACATACCCGTATCAATCCCTGGAGTTTTGACTAGAACAGCAAAGCTTCACCCTGATCACATAGCGTTGGTATCTAGACCTGATATCAATGGCAAAAGAACCACGTATACTTTCCAGTATGTAAAAAAAAGTTATATCAAGAACTTTGTTTCCTTTACTATTGCAACAAGTAGTATAATTATAATAAAACTTATATAATTAATTTCTCTATATAAAATTTTATAAAACATAAATACCGTTTTATACAGATTCTTTCTCTATACTTCTTAATCTGGTTTATAGAAAAATCGATAAGATCAGCAACTACATTTATTACAATAAATGGCATGTATTATACAATTATTTATGTACAATTTATAAAATTTTGTTAATTTATATTACAGAGAATACGAGTCCACTGTAAGAATCATTGCAAAAGCGTTTTTGAAGTTGGGTTTGAAGCGACATTACAGTGTCTGTATATTAGGATTTAATAGTCCGGAATGGATAATTGCCAAACTCGCAACTATATACGCTGGGTAAAAAAGTTTAATCATTTGTATGTCTATAAACATATATATATAGTTTATATGTATATAGTCTAATTTACATGCATTCACTATTTACATATTCATAATATACATACATTATTATTATTTAGATATTCTTTATATGGCTATATGATAATAAAAAAAAGCGATATGTGTATTTTTACTTTCCTTGTTTTTAAAAAAATACATCATCGTTTCTTTTTAGTGGGATCGCTGCAGGGATTTATGCCTCAAATTCACCGGAGACATGCCAATATTGCGCTGAACATAGTCGGGCAAATATAATAGTTGTTGAAGATGAGAAACAATTGCAAAAAATATTACAAATAAAACACAATTTACCTCATTTGAAGGCAATCGTTCAATATAACGGCATACCAACCGAAAAGGATGTTTTGAGCGTAAAAATTGTTTATTATACTTGTCTAAAGTCTTCTTATTATATATTTTTTTGTAAATATAAAACTTATTATTATTTATTATATCTTAGTGGGACAATTTATTAGACATAGGTAAAAAAGAATCAGAGGATAAATTACTATCTGTGTTAAAGACGATAGGAATAAATGAATGTTGCATTTTGGTTTATACGGTATGTTTAATTTATCGCATTTAATGAAATTATGACTGTTATAGAATATATTTAATATAACATTTTTTTAATTTGAAATCTCTTTATAGTCGGGAACAGTCGGAAAGCCAAAAGCTGTAATGCTAAATCATGATAATATATTGTTCAACGTACGCGCATTGTTACCAGTGCTACGTATGAAAGAAAAATCAGAAGTTACAGTTAGCTATTTGCCACTATCTCATGTTGCAGGACAGGTAAGATATTTCAAATAGGATAATATACTACTCAACAAAATTAAAAAGTGGATAAAATCACTTATCTTACCTTTCCAAAAAAAAAATAATCAAATTTCAAGATTGTATAATTTCGTCAAAAATCATCATAATACATGTGTAAAAAAGCAGTTTACACATGAAGATCTTTTTTCAGATTGATACGTCATACGATTTTTATTTCACTGAATTCGTTGCTTTAATGTTGAGTAACTCAATAAAAAAAAAAGGATCATATGCCGCTCAACAAAAAATGCAAATTGAAAGTAAAAATTCACTTTTTCAAATACTATACCGCATTTGTGTGCAGTTTTTATTTCGCGCTAAGAAACTTTGTAAAAAATTTTGAAATTTGGCGCATCTTTATTTATCTTTATTTATATTTATGTAACTTCATATAAGATATCAGTAGAATCATTTTTTTTAACGGATTAACCTGAAAAATAGATTTTAAGATGTGTAAAATACTTTTTTAAACATTTTGCTATTATGATTTTCGATGAAGTTATTTTAACTTAAAATTTGTCTATTTTTAGAGAGATTTTTAGAAAATAAATGATTCTTTAATTACATAGTGTCTATTTCCGATATATAATTAAAAATATTTCAGTGATATAACACTTAATACGTACAATTTTTTACATATATAAATTACATATGGTTGGAAGTAACACGTTACTTGTAACGTCATTACTTTTTTTAATAACAAGTTAGCAAAAGTGTTACACTTTTTAATTAATAATGTTACACTTTTTAATTAATAATGTTACACTTTTTAATTAATAATGTTACACTTTTTAATTAGACAGTAATAATAATACACTTATATTTTGTTTGTAAGAGTATATAACGAATATAATTATCATCATAATTATCGTTTTAAATACTTCGTAAAACATAACTTCTCCAATCTTGAAACTACATTTAATTATCTATTATAATTAGAAAAAATAATGTTTTCATTAATTTCAGATAGTTGACATCATAATAAACATAATGTTAGCGACCACAGTATATTTTGCGGACCCAAATGCATTAAAGGGTACATTAATAAATACGTTACTTATAGCGCAACCGACTATCTTGCTAGGAGTTCCCAGAGTATGGGAAAAGATATATGAAAAGATGCAAGAAAAAGCGCGCAGTAACGGTGTAATTAAAACCTGGATTGCTAAATGGGCAAAAGCACAAGGTCTTCATTATTACACGAATAAAATGAATGGCATAAATTACAAACATTGGGGCTACGTCTTTGCAAAATGGCTTGTTTTCGACAAAGTCAAGGCAGCATTGGGTTTAAATAAGTGCCATATCTTCGCTACCGCAGCAGCACCCATAAATATCGATATTAAAAAGTATTTCTTGAGTTTAGATATACCTTTAATAGAGTTGTATGGACTGTCTGAAAGTAGTGGACCTCATACATGTATCGACTTTAAAAAATATAGGTAAATTATTAGGTGTACAAATTAGTTCGGTCCGTTTATTGTGTTCAAAAATGCATTTATTTCAAAACAAAATGAATAAACAGATTTATTATTGTCCATCGCTGGTTACTTTTTCCCATCTCTCGGGAAATTTTCGAATTTCATCTCGAAAAAATAACTCGTCTTTGGAGGCGATCATCTTTTGGAAAATGGACCGAACTAATTTGTACTCCCAGTACATCTGCTTTAATTCTTAATACTGAATTTACACAGATGTTTAAAACTTTTAAAATATATTGTTTCTCATATGTTAGCATGGATGGTGTAGGAAAACCTTTACCTGGGTTATATACAAAGCTAGACAATATAAATGAACATGGCGAGGGAGAGATTTGTATAAGTGGACGACATGTATTTATGGGTTATTTAAATGCACCGGAGCAAACAAAAGAAACCAAAGATAAAGATGGCTGGTTCCATAGTGGTGATCTTGGTAAATTTGATTCAAACGGGAATTTATCTATTACTGGTAAACGTTTTTTTTTACGCTTATTAACAATATGCAAATAGATCATATCTAATACTTATTAAAAATAACACTATTCAACAAAAAAAGATACCAGAACCAGACTAGTCATTTGCTGTAGATTTTTTGGATGGACTATGGCCCAATGAAAAATGATAATAGAATCGACATCGATTTCATAAAAATTTCTTAAAATTGGGAATGAAATCAATTGTCGAGTAGACATCGATTTCATTGTCATTTGTCACTGATGAATCCAAATTGCTCTATCACGTCCCAATTTTGAGAAATTTTTAATTAAAATTACAAAAAGAGAGTGTTATTTTAACGTATTTTGGATTTATATATATTTAGCGTCCAAAAACTATAAAAAATGACTATTTCGGTTTTCGAAAAGAATATTTTCTTGTCAAATAATGTGTAATGTTATTCATGTACGTATAATCCCATGTCAGCAAATATGTATTTTTATTTTTTACACAGGTAGAATAAAAGAACTGATAATCACAAGTGGAGGGGAAAACGTGACATCGTACAACATAGAGCAAGCGGTATTGTCGGAATTACCATATTTAAGTAATGCCATGGTAATAGGAGATAAAAGGAAATATTTAACAATCCTTGTCACGCTTAAGGTGCGATGAGAAGACAAAATTAGAAATGAAAATTTGAACTTTTAAATATCTAAGTAATTTTTTTCAGAGTAATATGAATGAAGAAACTGGTGCGCCGTTAGATACGCTAGCACTAGATGTATTAAAATGGGCACAGTCTATTGGTAGCAATGTCAAAACGGTTACAGAACTCATAAACTCTCGTGATGCAGCTGTAAGTTTTAAATACAGTTTTAAATAATTTCAATCGAAATCTATGCTAAATAATTCCATAGTACATAGCTTGATGGAGCCTTAATGAGTGCAAACGATATGATCATCACGGCAACACTCATCTTTGTGTTTATTTAATCTAGATCTTTAAATATTACAAAATATTTCTTGCTATTTTAGATATATGAAGAAATCGACAAGGCAATTAAGAGAGCGAATATGCAAGCTATAAGTAATGCTCAAAAAGTACAGAAATTCGAAATTCTTCCTCATGACTTTTCGATTCCAACTGGTGAATTGGGGCCCACGTTAAAGCTTAGAAAGAACATAGTTCAGAAGATGTATGCTGATTTAATAGATAAAATGTATGAATAAAGTTCTCCACTACTATCATTATAATAAGATTAATTAAGAGGCATGCATTTATAATTATTACAGTAAAAATATTTATATTTTTTTCATATTATACACACACACACACACACACACACACACACACACGCACGCACACTAAATATTTATATTTTTTTCATATTATACACACACACACACACACACACACACGCACACACACACACACACACGCACACATATATATATGTATATATAAATTTATCGTATTTTATTGGTAATATATTTTAATACATACACATATGTTAATGAAAATTCCGCAGTAAATTTGAAAATAAATTTATATTTTTTTAGTTTATCTAAATATAAATTTTTTTGCACAAAAAATATAAAAATATTTTTATCAATTGTATTAACTTTTTTTTATATCAAGATGCCTAAAATAAAAAATGTTTAATAATATTATGATTATATAATGCTGTTATAATGAGAAGTAATGTAAATCATTGTAATGGAAAGGTAAAAATAAATAATAGAAAAGATTTTATAATTGCAATATATTACTAAATATAGTTTACAATAAGCAAAACAGTAGTTATGTTTAAAATTATGTTCATACTACATATTTTTATAGTAAATATGGCTTTTCATAAGAAAATAGTCTTACTAAGAGCGCATCACAGCAGCTTTGGAAATGCAGATCTGTATATCTTCTTACTCTGAATCGTATTATGCACAAATGGATTATACTCAAATTATCGTGATTATATGAAGTTTTCTTTTGTTGTTATTTGTTTATTATTACTCTATTACTTATCCCATATTATCAGTATAAATTTTTACACATGTGCATGTAGAATGCATACTTATTGCTGGCTAACAATGTATTTTAAATATTTGTGCAATTTTATTTTAAATTGTTTAACTGCAAATCTCTCAAATAGAATTATAATTTTCAAGGTAATAAATATCCACATAGCAGACAATTAAGAGGAACGTAATGATATGTCAAAGCTGATACTTAGTTAATTCCATATATAAAACTTATAACATTGTGGCACATACGTATAGAACACTGTTTTCAATAATACTACAGATCCTGTTTTGAAAATAAGCAGCTAAAAATTAGTTGATTTCCTATATATAAAGACATGAGAATTTTATGGTACTGTAAAATATTTTGTGGAAGATCTTCAAAATATTTTTACGCATAAAATTAAACAAGCTACGATCCAATTATTTATAAATGTACCATATTACTCCATCATCTAAAGATAAGGCTAATTAACAATATGTAATTTTTAAAAATGATAAAGTAAGTATACAGATTTATGATGTTGTCGATGTATTGAATTTTTGTTGGATAATAGATGTTTTTCGCTGCGGTACTGTTTCTGGTGTTGGTATAGCATCTCCTGTTGGCAGAACACCAGCTGGCTTTGGCTTGGCTGTAGACTTTTGTTTTGCCATTTGATAATCCCCAGAATCAAAATATTTTTGCTGAAAACATTGAAATTGTCAACCATTTCAAGAAATCAAAAGATTAAAAAGAATACATCATTATGTTTTTGTAAAAACGTTGAAACTATATATGATAATTAATAGAATTGATATATATTTACCCCTTTAGCTAATCTTTTTTGCAAAAATGCAGAATGGCCACCAAATGGTCGACCCGCTGCATTTGGGAACTTTGCTTTTAATTTTTCTTCTTCCAATTTTTCTATAGCGCTTGATGACAGCTATAAGAAAATTGTCAGTGAAGATCTATTTATATACATGTATAACTGTTGTATACAAACAAATCCATGCAAATAAAATTTTCATAAGGATTGTTTCTACTTATACATTTCTTATGTCTTCTAAAATTCATATTAATGTACACAGCACCATATATTTGTTTTGTTGTCATACAATTCTAACATGCTTAGCACAAGCTACAAATAGACGTAGTTATCCAAATATTTACATACAACAGTGCAGTGCAAGAAAGTTAATTCCAGTATAATTAATCACTTGCATAAATGAAATATGCAACTTTCTAATAAATCAAAATATTACTCTCTATGATGATGTTCTGATAACTCATCAAAAGAATCGCCGCAATTTTCAGTTTTCTTAATATATACTAATTTATACAATAGAGGTACACTATATTATTAATCAATCAATTACATCTTCTTCATTAATCGCTTTCCCATTGATAAATTTCAGCAACTTACCTCTGCAGTTGGATTCTGCACATTCATCTGATCGTCACTCATCTTCGTAGATTTTAAAACGCCTCTCGTCAGTGACCGCTCCTCTCCCAACCAGTTACCTTTCGAATACTAATTTCGACACTCACGCATATAACGTACATAAGCTAAGTGTGCGCGACGTAATAAACGGCAGCGTCTTTCAATCGTCAGCCAGATCGGCAGGTCGTTTCTCCGCCGTATTCTCCAGCCGACAAAGTGGATACGTGCACCACAGGAATCCAACGATTGTCAACGTGATTGTTTTCATCCGCGAGCAACAACGGCACGGGGCGTCACATGCAGAGGCGCAGAGCCATATGTTCCCGGTTGAGTTGACCGTTACCGACGTTCGCGTGGCTGGTTTCCATGCGCAGAAATTCAATCCGATTCTCATAGCGCGTCTTCGATTAATGAATGGGCGATTAGTTCAATGTTATGATTGTGATGAATTACTCCAGCACAGAATTGTTATTAATTAGACCAGTGCTACCCCAGCAGAGGCATGCACAAAATTTAAAAATAATTTTGATGCCCTAGAAGGATACACACACACAACCTTATAATGATATATACACATATATAGATATATATATACATATATAGCATCATATAATAGTACTGCTAATTAATCTAAAATATCTATTTATGCCCATTTCTAATGTAAATTAATTTATTAATCTCACGTACACTTATTGTTTTGATCTTTTTCTATTTATAAGAATTAGAAAAGAGTATTAAATAAAACTGAGATTAAAATCAATCTGTTGGTAGAAATTTGCTTATAGACAAATTTTTGTACAGCACATAATAGTTTATTAAAATGTTTTCAAGTAAAATTTCTTTATAATTTATTACAAATTGTTATTTTCTCTGATTTAAATCTTTTTTGTCATCATATTGATTTAAAAATTGATAATTTAATTACGGTTCAATTAGTTTTGCAACTGCTTGGTCGAAAATCATCCATATAATAGCAACTCCGAATAAATTTAATATTTGAATTGTTTGAAGTAATATAATTTATCTTAATTTCGTATTTTTAATTTAATTTTATTATATATATTAGCATATAAAATTGATTCTCTTTTTTTTACTTAGGATTAATTAATAAAGAGAAGAGACATTTTTATTTAATAAATTAATCATTAATTAAATCTTGAACAAACTCTATTTTATCGTCAGATGCTAAACGTTAAATTGAGATCACGTGATTACATTTTTTTTTCACAAGTCTCATGAAATGGCTCCTTAACAATATTCGCAACGCTCGCGAGTATTATTCCATCCTTCTTATCATTAAATATTAAACGCAGCCAATCAACAGGCTTGAAAAGCTTGCAAGCGTATGTATGTACGATTAAAATCGGTGGATGTAATATTAGTCTTAACTTTTTGCCAATCTTTGCCAATCCGCGACAATAGCGCCAGCTGATCTTTGACTCGAGCTCGGCTCTGGCTATGTTCAAAACGAATGGTGGTGTGATGGACTTGACTTGTCGCGTTGTCGCGCGTTCACATGGTGGTATTTACGGCGAGACGACACGAAGGTTCTAGAACATTCCGGATTAATCACGGAGAGAGTGACACGCCATGAATACGTTAATTCACACCAAAATGATTGCCGGTCACGGTGGAGTCATTGTTCGACGTATGTGTCACCGTGCATATTACTTCACGTCTTATTATAGACCAGCGCGATTTTATGCGATAACTTTTTTATAATATTTGTTAAAGTAAAATACCTTCATTATATCATTATATTTATGTAACGACATGTAATATGCACGCCATCGTGAAATTAAAAATGCCTCTCATTTAGAATGTCAACGTCTCCTTGAATTTCTCTATCAAATATTCCATTACTATATAGTTACGTTAAGAAAAACGTGGACTGATAGGTTATGTCCAAGTTTTTTTATAATATAAATTTATATTTCTTAAAGAACGTATTACTTTTTTCTATTTTACGATCATGAAAGATTTTATTATTCATTGTTTATGGAATATTTAATAGTTATTTTAATTTTTTTTCAGTTATTGAGAAACAAAATGATGTTTATTACTGTTAAAAATAACTTCTAATTTACTCTGGGATTAGATAAGTTAAATTGTTTCACTGCGTACTAGTTTATACTAAGATTAGATAAGCTAAATTATTTTACTTCATAACTTCATAATTATTAAAAAAAAATTAAAAACAGCTAATTCTATATTTCAGGGTACTCCCCGTTTAAATTATGGTACAATACCAATCATACGGGTAGCATAGCTCTAATTTATACAGGTTTAAGAGATCCAAGAAGATTATTGCTGGAGCCTACAGTGCTACCAATGTATATTAATGATAAAAGCATGACATGTCTACAAATTCGTACCTTTTACGTAACTCCAAGTTGGAATGGCCAAGAGTCATCATCTAAGATTGAAGAAACTGTAAAGAATATTAAAGAAGAAAAAGAACTTCAAAATAAGGCAGTAGACAGTGTTGTCACAAAAAATAGTGAGCAACAAAAAAAAGCTGTCGCTAAAGTTACAATATGGCAAAAAATTAAGGGCGAGATATTGCATTATTATCATGGATTTCGATTGTTAGGACTTGATATGAAAGTATCAGCAAAATTAATATGGAGAATTTTACATGGGAAAGAGCTTAGCAGAAGAGAGCATCGTTTGGTATATTAAGCACATTACATTTATTATATCAATATGATATATATTAGTATTAAGACATTAATCAATCATATTTTCTGACAGCTGGTAAAAACAACTGGAGATATGTTCAGATTGATTCCATTCTCTGTTTTTATTATTGTTCCATTTATGGAATTTCTATTGCCAGTGGCAATTAAATTATTCCCTGGCATGCTACCTTCTACTTTTCAGACAGCAGTTGAAAAAGAAGATAAACTTAAACAGGCTTTGAAGGTATAAAATATCAGATTTCAAATTCATTGAGACATTAAAATTAAGACATAAAATTTAATAAAAATATATACACATAAATAGAATGTGACAAAAATAATATATATAAATGTCACATAAAATATTATAGTAAGTTATATACTTCTACAAAAGCTTAAATATTATTTTAATAAATATTTTTTTGTTTACACAAATGCAGGTCAAGATAGAAATGGCGAAATTTTTACAAAAAACACTGGACGAAATGGCATTGCAATCATCAGATCACAAATCTGAGAAAGCTAAAGAGTTTGCAGAATTTTTCTACAAAGTACGAACAAGTGGTACTGTTGCTACCAACGAAGAAATCATGAAGTTTAGCAAAGTTTTCGAGGATGAAATTACTTTAGATTCCCTCTCACGACCACAACTAATTGCTTTATGCCGTGTATTAGATGTACAAACACTTGGAACTACAAATTTTTTAAAGTTTCTACTTAGAATGAGACTAAGAAGTCTCACTGCAGACGATAAAGTATGTATTCATGAAGTACACTTTATTTTTTTTATGTAAAATTTTTTTCATATTTCTCTCACTCACACACACATATACACCTACATACATAAACACATTAAAATATCAAATCTCTTTTTTTTCGATAACAATAGCTGATTGAGAAAGAAGGAGTTGAAAGCCTAACTAGGGCTGAATTGCAACAAGCTTGCAGAGCACGTGGTATGCGTGCTTATGGATTACCAGAGAGTAGATTAAAAGAACAATTATCACAATGGTTGGATTTAAGTTTAATTAAGAAAGTTCCACCTTCTTTACTGTTATTATCACGAGCGCTTATGATACCAGAAGCGATGCCTATGTCGGACAAGTTAAAGGCAACTATTTCGGCCTTGCCTGATGCAGTTGTAGCACGTACAAAGGGTGCTATTGGCGAAAAAGAAGGTAAAGTGGATCATAGGACTAATATCGAAATTATTAAAATGGAAGAGCGTAAAATTGAAGAAGAGAGAAAGGAAAAGAAAGAAGCTGAACCACAACCATCTATTCCGGAATCCAGTACTAAAACGGATGAAATTACTACCACTGATGTCAAAGTTTTGGAACAAGCTCTGGATTCTATTGGCAAAGTTAGTAAATAATTAAAATATGCATGCTAGTAATTCTTTAATATTTACACAATTTTCAATATTATACCATCTTATTTTTAGGATAATAAAACTATGGCTGTAGAGAAAGAAGAAATCAAGGAACTAAAAGAAGAAATGGCAGAATATCAGGAAGATATTAAGGAATTGTATCAAATTAAAGCTGAAGCAAAGGGCCAAACAGATATAGAAAATATTAAAATATCAAAAGGCGCTAATAGACTATTCAAGAAGGTAAATAAAATGATTTCAAAAATGGATGCCGTTTTGTTGGAGCTTGGGCAATCCGAAAAAAAAGTTAAACAAAGAATCGAATCGTTGGGTCCTAATGAAAAAAAGGATGCTAAAGATGTTGAAGAATTAGTTAAAATAGATGAGCTGGTTGCAGCCATTAAACAAATTCAAAGTGTACCCGATGAACATCGTTTAAAACGCATAGCAGAAATTTTAGGAAAAATTGATGACGATCGAGACGGTGCAATAAAAATAGAGGATGTATTAAAGGTATAGGACAGATTATAAATTTTTATTAATTACAATAAGAGTATTATCCTAAAAATATGATAATATAATTGAAAATTTTGTAAATATTATATATGAGCATGATTATACACAATTTTATATTATTAATATTATAATTATTTATTAATAAATTATATTAATTATATGATGTAATATTTACAGGTTGTAGAATTAATAGGTAAAGAAGATGTTAATTTAAGCAAAGAACAAGTAAACGAATTAATAGAGTTAATGGACAAAGAAGAAGTATTAGAAGTAGAAGAACAAATACAAAAATCGTTGGAAAAGGATTCAAAGACCTCCCAAACGGAAGAGAATATGAAAGCTACGCATAAATCTACGGTTCCAGCTACACCGGTAACAACTGAGCCAGGATTTGGTAAAGAGGAGTTAGTAGATGACTCTGTCAGAGAATCCAGTAAAACCTATGGAGATCAGAATAATGAAGAAGACAAGCAAAAATCAACTGTCGTTCTTAAAAGTAATTCCAAATCTGATGAGATAAAAAATCCTCCTATTACATCAGGTGTTCAATCAACAGCGAAAAAAGCAGAAGGTTCTAAACAACTGTGATTAGCGCACAATGAAATATAAATTAGTATATATAATTATCAGCAATATTTTTACTGAAATAATGTTTGATATGGATCTTCGTCTTGTGTGTATCTCACATATTTTTTTTCTTAAAAAAATTTTTAATTTCTTTAAATAATAATATAGTAAAAAAAATAAATCTTATATTGACACAAGGCACAAAGATGTCATTATTTAAATGGCCATAATTATTATTGTACATAGAAAAAAATATATATTCATATAAATAATACATTAATCACTTATATTTGAGTAATATTGAATATTGTGTAATATTGATTTCTAATGTTTTTTATTATATACACACAAAAACCCGAAGTTTCCCATTGAAGACTGTGCATTTAACAGCATCATTTATTCTGTTTTATTTTCATAATAATATACTTGTGTTGATCATAAATGCATTGTTAAAATATTTATTCTGTAATTAATTGTCGATATTATATATTATAATCTTAAAAGAAACGAATAGAATATCGTTAGCTTAAATATTGACAACAAATTATAGATGTATTAAAAATGTTTTCTACTATAATCTTCTAGACTTTCAATGAGTCAAGAAGATAAATCATTCCAACTGTTTTAATGCCGTTGTACACTTATTGATACGCTGAGCATATATACCACTCATTACCTTGTAACTTCAATATTGTCATTACAAAGTAATTGATTGTTCAAAGCAAGATAAATGTACGGTAATTTATAATTTTATTTTCATTTGTGAAAAACACAGGGAAGCAAAAAACAAAAATATAATACTATTTGTGCTTTGTACTACGTAGAAAGTTAAATTTGCAAAAAAATTCTGTTTACCATCTTGTGTGACAAGATGTTACATTAATTTTGGAAGGACAAGAGAAATATTTATTGCATATTTATGTTCTTTATAATGTTAATTGGACGAAGATCATCTAAATGTATTATAAAGATATGAATTCAGAAAGAACATTCAGAGTGATCTATTTCTTTACTTCTGCGCATGAAAGTCTACATATATATATGTAAGAAAATATATTATTTTTTTAAAATTTTATAGGATGCTGTTTCAAAAGAAATAAAATTGTGAAATTAGTATCCTACAGAAGGTAGTTTTTATAAAATTATTGATATTGCTGCATCGTTTTACTTTATTTGTTCTATTTCCTACATTTCATTACTTCTTTGTATTTGTTGGAAAATAATTAATTTTGTGAAACAAAAAATTTAATTTTGGTATATACATCCAACAGTTATAAATAAATATAACATATGCTATGAAAAATTATTTCATAGCTGTCACTTTACATGTAACATCATAAAATGAAAGTATATTTATAAAAAAAAATTATTTGTTGTAAATATTAAAAAACATATTTAAAAATATTTTTAAAAAATTAAAAATATACATGAATATGCTATATGATAAAAAATTTAAATTGTGTACAATTGTTAATCTTAAATAAAAAAATTGTATACTTTATATTTTTGCTAATAATTAATGTATAACAGTAATTTATGTGTAAGACTATTTCATTATTGAAATGTGAAACTAAATTATTTAAAAATCATTTATCAAAATATAATAATATATTAAAAAAGATATATTAAATATATATCATATGTTTTAATAATATTAGAATTTAATATATACCAATATCTTTTATTTAGGATTGATTAATCTTTGGAATAAAAATAAATGGATAAATAATGTTCAATAATAAATCACATCGGTATTATAAAAAAAGGCGTTTAATGTATGACAAAATAGTAGATTAAACATAGAATTGCAAAGATAGATATAGAAGTGTAGATAATGTGTCATATATTGTGTATATATATATATATATATAATATATGAATATCTGAATCTAAATGTTATAAAATTTTTTTCTAAAGAATTTTAAAGTTTGATTGACCTCGTTACATTAACAGTGAACACTTAAAAGGCACAATCAACGTCAACAGTACAAAAGTATCAAAATTAAATAGACAAATATTTCACCTTTCTCTCATAAGAAAACTACTGTAACATACGCATTCTGTGAATTTTAATGATCATTCTGCAATACAATTCTCAAGTCACTTTTTCTCTTCGGTTAAAGCTGCATTAAAATTGGTTATTTTATCTGTATAAATGCGCCTCATAGAGGTAGAAGTTTTTAAACAGGTGACTTAATTAATTATGTGAAATAATTATACAATCAGTCTCTAATATTACAGTCTAATATGTTAAACATAAAAATTCATTTTTTTTACGGCTTTTTTCATGGCTTGATATTTCAGATGTGCGAGTAACGATGAATGCTAAATGCTACTCTAAAATAAGCCACTGAAAATCTATTATTACTACATAAATTTTAAATTATAATAAATCAAATTGTTTAATAAAACCTTCAATTTTAGTGTTATAATTTATACTTAGTTTTATGCTTAATTTATACTTAACACTTAAGTTTATTATATTTGCACGCAAAATGCGTTCACTTTTATATAATAAAATTTAATATACAACAAAGAGAAATAATTATTAAAGTATAACCGTTATAAAATTCACTCACACGTTCGAGATATCAAACTGTTACATTATAAAATGCTAATAAAAATAACTATATAAAATAAAAAAACATAGCAGATATATTAAAACTATGTGAAACACATATATATGTATGTATATTTAATAATATATAAACAAATTGCTTACAAATTACAAGTTTTTGTTACTTTACAGTGTTACGACTTTAATGTATCTGAACTTTCTTCACTATATCAATAATTAAAATATGCAAAAAAAATATTGAAATTCATTCACATATCTCCATAATTTTGAATAATTTTTGAATTAAAGAGTGCTGAATTCATTAAAGGTTATAAATAAATAATGCAAAAAGTAACTAAGAATGCAATTATTTTATTTTAACATGAATGTAATTACATAATTTGCATAATCGGAAAAACAAAATAAATAATCTTCATAAAATATCTACCACGCGTTTACATTTGCAATCATCTCAAATATATTCATATCAATATCACTTATGTTTCAGCACTCTAAAGACAAGTAATATTGCAAATAATCTTGCAGTCTTTCCGTAATGTTATACTATTATAAATGTTAATAAATTTTGTTTTCAATTCAAATGTCTTATATGTTACATAATACGTAATATAAACTAGAAAGTAATTAAAATGTATTGCTATTAAACCTTTTAAATAGTTTTATAAAAAACAGGTATAATATACACGTTTTTGAAATATATATCAATTACTATATATAATACATATAAATATATTACAATAAATTGTATAGTATATCTTAAGTTTTAGATATATTTGAACAGTGAAGATTAAAAAGCGTTAATTCACTGTAAAGTATCAGAAAACTTTCATTTTTGTATAAATACAGTTCTCTTACACTTAGCTTTCAATTATATAGGAGTTGAACATTCCATAACATAAGCTACATATTGTTTTATGTTTGTTATAGCAAGATGCAGCACTTTGTTTCCTTATTACGTTCACTCCCATCTCCTTGGTTTTCCTGTGCCTTGCGAGCAGCAATTGCTCTCATTAAATCAAAGAATACCTGCAATGTGGAATAAATATCTTCATTTATTTCTATGTAAACTAATTTTTTGAAATTATATTAATGATTAAAAATTAAAATATATATTGTGTGTAAAAAAATATATCAAGATAATATTACAAGTAAATTATAATATGCAATTATTTAAAAAATGTATTTATTATAATATAATCTTTACCTACTAAAATCTCTTATTAAAATAATTTTTGTTTATTTATATATCCAGTTAATGTTTTATTAAAATATTACGAATAAAAGAGTATTATATACAAAACTCAATTATTCTCAAAATTGTTATATTACCAAAAATTACATAATTTCGTACAAATTAACAAGATATATATTTTTATTTTAACCTACAGTAATAATATGTCTCAATTAAAAATAAAATATTTTATGCTTTTTTCTTTCCTTTTAAAATAATCACTAAGTATTTATAATACAAACAATTCACACATATGTCATAACAAAACATTACAACACAATGTAATTAAAAAAAAAGAAAAGCCTATACATGCTTTGCATAAGCTGTGATAAGCTTCCCAAGTAAGTGTATCATTTCACATTTATTTTGTAAATATTAGAACAACTTCTATAATAAATATAGAATTTGGGGATACCTGAAATACGGATATAAAGCAGAGTTAATAGAGATATGCAACAAAATATAAGTAATTAAATTTATTATTTTCTTAGAAAAATCATCACGTAATACTAACTTATATAAACATTTTTATTGCATATCTGTAACATTGAGTATGAAAAGCGCTTGCATTATGCAAATACACTCTATTAGCATTCCCTATATATTATACACTGATATAAACTATTAGCAAATTCAGTTGGACGCACTAGACGCATATTAAAGCCATCGTACACAAATAGACACAAAGATGTGTTTATGCAATCGAAATCGCTGTAAAATTGCCCAAGACAGGAAATGCCACCAGTTTTAATAATTTATCAAAACACAAAATAAAATATGGTGCAAGAAAAAACAGCAAACCTATAGAATAATGCACTTCTTTTTCTTCCTCTTGGTACGGTCTTTACTTCGACTATTGCTTGCTGATTTATCTTCAATTTTACGTGACCTTATTTCACGCATCAAGTCGAAAAATACCTGCAAATGTGCAATAGATGCTGTCTCAAAGCTTTAAGGCATATAAAATGTGCATTATAAAATGAATATCATATTTTTCATATATGTAAAAAAAGAAAATGAGAATTGTGCGCATATAAGCAATAGCACAATAAATGGTGATATAATAATGTATATAAATATACATAGATTGCAATTAAGCCTATTTAAAAATGCATATTTCGTGCAATCAATTCATATGCGGTACATTACATTGAGGGTAAAAGTAAAAGCAACAAGAAATATATATGTAAATACATCTACTATTTTTGATAATTTAATTACATTAATATGAATGTATATATGTATGTGTATATATGCTCGATGATAAGTGTACTAAAACATCTAGTTTAACAATACTACCACAAAGACTATCTAAAAAAAGTTAATTCCACAAGTTTCTTATTTTACTAAAAACAAAATAGAGAAAAAAATCAGAATCAAAATCAGTTATTTTTTTAAAGTATATATAGTTTTTAATAAAATTAAATAAATATACATAATCAGCATTTTACCTTGTCTACGTTTTCTTTTGTTTTAGCGCTTGTTTCCACATAAGGAACGCCCCATTGTTGAGATCTTGCTTGAGCTTCGGCTAAACTAACCTTCCTTTTTTCTTGTAAATCACTTTTATTCCCCACTAACAAAAATGGAATGTTCTCATCATTTTTTACCCTGAGAATTTGTTCTCTATAGAAAAGAAAAAGTTTTTCTATTCATGTGGAATAATCAGATAATACATTTATAATTAGTTAATTATCATACATTAAATTTTTCTTCAATAACATAAAACTAATGATTAGCTCTATCAAATTTTACTGACCTAAATTCCTGTGTAGCTTGAAAGCTATCATCTTCCGTTATCGAAAATACACAGAGAAATCCTTCCCCACTACGAAAATAATTATCTCGAATCGCTGCATAATCTTCTTGTCCTGCAGTATCCAGGATATCTATCTGTACCTCTTCTCCATCTAGTACAACTTTCTTTCTGTAGGAATCTGCTTTTGTAGGCTCATAATCTTCAACAAACTAATTTGTGAATATTATGATTAATATTAAATATCTCTTTCTAATATAATATTTAAAAACAAAATGCTTAAAGTATAATAATGTTGTTTATCATGTCAAGTATAAGATACTTGACATGATAAAAATTATATATTTTTTTGTTAAGTTGATAAAAATAAACAGGCATTATTTATATTTAAAACATTTCACTAAAATAATATTAAGTTATTTTATTTTTTATTTTACCTCATCATACATGAATTGTAACGTCAAAGCAGACTTTCCAACACCTCCACTTCCAACCATTATGACCTTATGCATTGCTTGAGTAGCTCCTGGCTTCTTCGACATTTTTAGATAATTACCTTCAATTAAGATAAAGTGGTCACTAAATATATATGCTGTATCTTAAAAATGTACAATAATAGAATTTTGAGCTTGCAAGATTCAGACTTTATAAACATAGATATACTTGTGATATTATTTATTCATATTTATTTATTATTAATTATATTATATTTTATAAATCTTTTATAACAGAAATCTATATTCCCATTACATGATAAATAACTGTAACAAAACTGTAATTGCATAATTATGTACATACATTTTTGTACTTCTTCGAAATAGGGATTTTTTCTGATGGTTATCTTAATTAAAGCAGAGCAGAAATAACAATGGCAGGATGTGAGAATTATGTTGTCAGTGTGAGAAATCTAAGCTAAGTAGTTTCATATATGTATGTGTTCTCAGGTGTTTTATATCATACAAATCTATGACACTGTCTATATTTCAAACAGATAATTTAGTATATCAGGATATCAAAAAAAAACAGAAAACTTTTAGTATTTGTATTTTTCCTTAATTATAAGTTTATTCTAATATTTGTATTGTACACTTCTACCAATTACATTATACACTTCATAAACATTTTTTAATAAATATATTCTTTTTCTATACATATAGAAAATAATTAAGACATTAACATTACAACACAAATAAGAAATTTAACAGTTGCTTTTAGTATTATGGCAAGTAATATCATACAGAAAGAGAGAAACAATAATCCAGAGACACTACTGTAACAGCAGAAGAGACAGAATCAAACAGAGAAAAGAAGAACAGGAAACTTACTTAATCAAAATAAATTATACGCCCATCACTCAACACATGTCGTTCCTATTCAAGATTCGCCCACGTGAAAGAATCAAATAGATAAAAATAGGAAACACATGAAAAAGAACGAAAGAAACTCGAAGGACACTTCATAAAAGGCATAGATATATATCCTCGTATTGTGACAGCGCTTTAATTTACTCTACCTCCTTTTCTTTTCTTTTCTTTATCCCATTCGCGCGAAGATTCCCGATATACGGATGAACGTGTATCATAAATAATTGCAACGAGAGATACGTAAGAAACCACAGAAAGAAGTCGCCGCGCCTCAATCGTCGCGTTTATCGAGCGACACTGACCGAAAGCAAGACAAGCCGGAGATTGTCGCGTAGTGTAACATGAGTAATCGAGAAAGGCGGTGCCGCGCTATTCCGGAGGATAGCGCGGATGCCGCAAAAGCCGCAAGTCGCTGCGTCGTAGATGTCGGGAATCGTCGGACGTTTTGCGCGGAGGTGAGACTACACCCGGACCGCCCGAATGAAAGCGCGATGACGAAGACCTTCCTTCGATAAATACCTCTGACAATCACGCAAATCGGGAGTGGCTGGCCGTTCCGTGATCTCTCGCAGCCGTTACACGCGTTGGTTTACTTTCACGCAATCGGATAGTTGAATAGTTCTGACGGTCAAGCGCCGGCGGCGTCTCGATCGCCGTATCTATTCGCGTGAACTTAGCCGATATGTCGGTCAATTTCATGGTTTAAAAATGTATATTTAATTGAAATATATATATATATATATTGTATACGAATATGTATGTGTTAATTTTTTTTAGTCACTTTTTCATTTTACCACTTTTCATAATAAATCTTTCATATAAAAACTTTATTTATTCATGTCGATTATAACTCTAATGCGTGGCGCAACACGGCACAGTTTTTGAATAAAAATTCATTCTTTTGATATTATAAATAGGAAGGCCCGTACTTTAATTTTGTCTAAATGTTCGCGCGTTATGTGACGCACGTTGCCCATCGAGTATATAATGAATTAATTTTAAAAATAATCAGGATGCTTTCGTAGTTTCACGTCATTATTTTCAACAAATAATAAATAATTAAAATAATAGTAATAAAAATGTCTCGAATAATCAACAATCATGATATACAATATTTACAATTAGATATAAGAATAAATATACGTTCCTACAATAGATCGATATCTCGATATGCGCCAACTTCACATCATCATTGAAGTTGCACATAATACGCACATTACTCACGTAATTGTAGTATTTTTAACTATCTACTGTTAGTATGGTAATTTGATATGGAAATGAAACAAAACTGTTATTTGTTAGAGAAATTTACAGTCGTGGTAACAAACGTTGATATTTAAAATTAAGCATGATTCCTCTCAATCATCCATATAATCTAGGTTAGTTTACTCAAGTTTGTTCAGAGTATTGCTCTGTATTGCTCTCAAATCTGTTCGAATCTGTAGACCCGGCAGACGGATAAAAATATATCTCGATCGCAAAGTAAAATTAACCTCTGTAATTTTCTATATGTATGTATTCAAAATTATTAAAAACAATGTTTTATTAATAATCGTTTCAGCGTTACAATTCAAATTTCTTTCCATCTAAGCACTGGTAGATCGTAATGACCACATCATTGAATACTGGTACTGAGAAAGAAATTGAAGATCCCGTTGAGCGGATATTGAAGAAAACCGGTTGCATAGAATTACACTATCAAGTTCAAGTATGTTTACTTATAACTGACTAATACCTGTTTTTTATTTTACTCATGTAGAGTAATTTTAATCTTTGTTCAATTTATTCTTCATCTTCTTCTAATTCTTGGAACTAGAAAAAGATGAAGAGTTAATCAAACAAAGATTTAAATAAAACTTCAAGGACTTCAAGTAAATTAATTTCAATCAATGATTGCTATGAAGTAAATATTCTGATTATGTTCTTCTTTTATTTAATCAGGAGACGCAGTAGTGTCTCCGGCCATGTTCAAAAAACTACTAGTTAATTTAAAAGTAATGATTTATTTAATAAATAATAACTTTTCAGGAGTGCATAGCAGAGCATCAGGACTGGAGAAAATGTCAAAATGAAGTAAAAAAGTTTAAGGAATGCATGGCTAAACATACAAAGCAGCAAGAACAAAGATATTAATAATACTTTGATTAAAAAAAGATTATGAAAAGATGAGGTCAGTGATAAGTAAATATATAAAATCTTTCCTACCTCCTGTTTGGAATGGAGAGAGCTGTAAAATGGTAATAGTAGTTCGGTCAGATTTACCTATGGGAAAAGGTAAAACTGCTGCTCAATGTGCTCATGCTGCTTTAGAATGCTGTCGCCAAACCCTCAATAACAAAAAGAAGCGATTAATGTTTGAATCCTGGTTACAATGTGGACAGCCTAAAATTGTTGTTAAAATACCAAATGAGGAGGAGCTATTGATCTTAGCAGATAAAGCTAACCGCGCTGGTTTAATTACTGCTATAATAAAAGATGCTGGTTTAACTCAGGTGAAACCTGGTACAATTACAGTTATTGGTATAGGACCTGGTTCTAATGAAGCTATCGACAGTCTTACATCAAAATTAAGATTGTTATAATTTTATTGCATTACAACATACTATACATTTATATAATTTAAAAAAAATAAAAACGTTTGTGATTTTGCATTTTGTTTATATTAAAGAGCAATCTTCATCTTAGCTTAGACTCGTAGCCTTTTTAATTTTCATTGTTTTTGTGAAAATTGAGTCTCATTGTTGTGAATCTATTTTAAAAAAAATATTTGATTTAAAGTTTTTAATATCAAAATATACATCAATCTAGAGTAAATAATAATTTTCTGACGCTGTTAAAAGAATAATACATTTCTCTAGATAAGATAAAAATTTCAAAATTAAATAACTCTACTTTTAGGACATGTAATTATAATAAAGTTTCTTAACTTCTATATAGTACTGTATTAGTGTGTGTATATATATATATAGAGAAAAATCATATACATATATATGTATAATAGGGAAATAAATTAATTTTTAACTGTAATTTAAATTGTATTTTGTAATAAAATGTTACTTTTGTTATTGAAGAGGTTTATATCAACTGCAAATATACAAAAAAATTCAAATCAGATATATAAAACAATTATTATTATTATCAAGTTGTACAATACATTATCTAGACTGGCAAAAAGATTAATTAAACAAAGTATCTTGCTTGTTGGACACTGTAATGAAACGTGATATAAAAATTTCAATATATACTAAAATATTTGCTATAATACTACCTCCTTTGTATATCTACAAAAAGCATCTCAAAACACATATTTGAAGACATACATACTTTTGGAAATAAATTGTGTGTGTGTGTGTGTCGCGCGTGCGCGCATATATATACATATTAGAGACATTCATAGAAGTATAATTTGTATAACATGTTTAAATGTGCTCTTCAGAAAAATAAATTTAAAATATAATTTGAACATAGATAATACTATAAAGAAATAAAAAGTAGATTATATTAAACTACTTTCATTGTAGTGGATATTAAAAATAAAAATGTATCATGTGAAGATTTTATCGATCCCATAAAGTATACATATTTTGATCATTAAAATATTCTTAAGAGGTTATACATACATAATCATATTATCTAAGTTCTTACAAGATTGAGCAATAATAATACAACAGAAAAACGCGTGCTTACAGCATAAACATCAGATCATATTTTAATTTTCTGTATACAATACTTATACCTATTTAACAATGTGCAACTAACATGTAAATTCGAATAAAATTGGAAGAATGTTATATAGATGCTCTTCATGTTTGTGTATGTGATCATTATTTGTATATACACATTTTGTCTATTTAATAACAAATCTGAATTAATAATATATATAAGTTTAAATTACATATATTTAAAAAAAATCAAATCTTTTTATAAAATTTAGAATAAAATATAAAAATGTTCTTATACAAAAACATACCAAAACTTTATCCAATTTGTAAATATTTTTCTAAATTATTAATGGATCCTTTAATTTCAAACATTGTCTAATATATTTTTTAACAAACTTATAAATTTTTTACTAAAATTCGATTAAAATTAACCAAAAGTTTTAATTCTGTTTTTTTTTTTCTAAACACTAAATGCTCAAAAATTATTGGCATCCTAATAAGATAAAAGATTCGCAATTTTTAAATCTTTCAACTAGAATCGAATTATGTGTTACGAAAGTTAATAAATATTTCATTTCTACCATTCAAGTGCACATTGTAATATTCCTAGTATGAAATAGACATGAAATAATTACAAGATGTAATGAATCAAATAATAGCATAAAAAATGTATATCTTCTTAAGAGACTTATGTACAATATAATTGTTTTTTATAAAATTAAAATGATTAAACTAAACAAAAATTAAACTATAAATTCAATATGTATGAATATGATATGAGTAAGTAAAATATAGTTTAAAAAATAAATATTAGAAATTGTTTTATATATATATATATATTATTTTTATGTTTATATATACAGTAATTGTCTGAATATTAGGAATATGTAAGAATATGTACCAATGTTATAAAGATATATATTATTCTTCGAATAGATAAATACTTAATAATTATGTGTGTTGTGTGTGTACATATAAAATTGCTGATATAATTAATACTGATTATCAATTTATATATTAAATAAAAAATTATGTTTATTCATAGCATACTCATATCATACTCATTTACTTCTGTTGTATCGTGTATTAATTTCATATCACATGGCCAGATTTGACAATTGATATATCCCTAATTGTATGATGTGCACAATATTTCAGTTCTGTAGCACATATTAGAGTACTATCCATTCTATTAGATTGACGTTTGGCAAATGTACATCACATCACTTGTAATTAAAAATGTCATCAATTTAATATTTATACTTGCAATGGACGAATATTAAGTAATTATTTTACCGACATCCGGCGGTTCTACATAATTGTTTAATACATGCGGCGCTTCGTTGAATTCATCGAGTTCCTCACCATTATCCGTACCTTGCGCGAGTAAAAAATATTGTTCACTTCTGGTGGGCCATAATAAATGAGCCATTACACAATAAGCAAAACAATCTGCTGAATATGTTATACCTATAAATTGATGATGTGTTAAATATGAAATACACCTGATGAAAGTTAATTTTACAAACTTTACTCACCTAATAACAACTTAAACCTCCATAGTGCGCTTATTCGAAGCGCTATAAGTGCTATAATGGGTAAATATATAAACCAAACTAATGATGATGCACCAAAGTGAAGGAGAAAGTTCAATTTTTGAGTATTATGCTCATATGCCATGGTGTTTCGAAGTTCATATACAAACCATACCATTATGGCACTTCGAAATAACAATATAAACCATCCTGGCCAAGTTTGATATTCATCTATGTCTTCAATAATATCAACCTCTGTCTGAAAAAATAAATTCATAACATGAATTTACGCTTACTGCAACTTATGAACAAGATATACAAAGAACAAAGAAAATAGTTACCATGTTCCATACATATAATAAAATGTGCACAACCCCATAACAGAACCATATTGCAAACACCAATGGCTTCGATGTTAATTCTATTCTTGTTACTGCCCATCCTTTGGCAAGTAAAAGCAATAATAACATAAAGGACGTCTAAAAATAAAAATAATTTAACATTAAAAAATAACACCAAAAAATTATTACTCAATTTTAAATTTTTAGATGGACAGTATTTATACATCAATTATTTATATACAAGATGTTTCATAATCACCATGCGATATTTAAATAATATATTCTAAAGGAGAATGAGAATTTCTGATATGAAAATGTTAAAACAGAATTTTTTAGTCTCACAGAGTACGTTATTAATATATTAGTGGTTGTGTGAGGCCCTATATACATATATTAAAAACATTAAGAATAAATATATTTAGAAAAAAGCTAATATCATATTTTTAATAAATTTAAAAAGATTAAACAATGTTATATAGAATATGTTAGATTATTTAAATTTAATGAGTTTAATAATATTTGATATCTACAAGATGTTTTCCTTACCCGTGATAGAATATCAAAAATATCACCTGCAACTTCTAATTGCTCATAGCCTACTCCATCTAGTGTAAATTTCAACACGTGTATCAAGATTAAACATACTGCCACGAATTCTAATAATAAACTTGCAGTGAACAATCTTGTTACAGGATGCTTTTGCAATCTTACTGCATACAACTGTAGTGGTACCAATATGACGTAACACACAAAAACTAGCAAGTACATTTCAATGGTTTCCTGTCTGTCATATGAGAACTGATAAGTCAAGCTGTCTAGGCCACTGACGTTTGGATTGCCGTTTACTAGCCAGATGTCATATTCTAATTCATCGTGCCTGCTATAATATTCCCATTGGCAAGTTGTTTTGTTCCTATAACATGCCACCAAGCTCATGTACCAAAATCGTGGTTGCCAGAAGTCCTGTATGACGTATGTAAATTGATGTCCCTTTACGACATTCCATACAGAATCCTCGTCTGGGCATATTTTGTTTCGAGAACATGGAACTCGTCTTCAAAATGCAAATTCAATATTAGTTACTTATATGATATGGGATGCTTTCCAGCAAGAGACACAACGTAACACCAATGATCATTTTTAGTTAACAGTGACAGGTAACAAGGATGTAACGATTCATAATATGTTACAGTATAGCTGCGTTCCATATGATAATGCTCATAATGCTCTTGAAATCATTTCATTCTTATTGTTTATCAAATGTTAAATAAAGATAAATTATGCTCATAAAAACTGCAAATGTCTAATGAAATGCACAATCTATGTTATCTATACAATTGCTGGAAAGCATCAATAATGTGACCGATTGAAACATCAAACATACCTGAGGAAGTCCTGACCCTCCTCGTTGCAGTCTGGATCGTAGGAAGTCTTCTTTAGGGTGTTAAACATGTAAGCGCACGCGGCGCTCTTATCCGTCAGCGTGCGATTGCCGTAATACTCGAGGAAGTGGCCACGGTCGAGTATCGCCAGGGTGATCGGTACGTCAAAGTCCGTTTTTGCGGTCACATTGCCAAATATGTAGCCATGTGAGTCCTTTTGCCGGTGACGGTCGGTCTTTTGGAAGCCGAACTTGATGAGAAACCGAAAGAACTCTCGCGTGTTGAACGTGCCGGTGATATGAGTAGAATGCCCGTAGTCCGATCGCAACGACAGGCAGAGCAGCACGCAGAGGACGCGCACCAACCGTCGACCGGCGGTCATTTTCTTCCAGGGTGGGCCCAGCCTCCGCTGATCTCGTTGTTCGTGATCGAGCCTCGCCTCGCTTAACCACGTCGCGCCTCGTGTCGCGAATTGTCAGGAGCCATCGGACACCCTCAACATCTTCCTGCGCGATATCGTACACAGCTGTTGCACGACTTGCACGGCTGCACGCGACGCAGATTCTTCCCCATCCCACTCGCGACCCTCATCGACATCTCATCGAGACACGACAATATCCTCCCGGAAGCATCTCCGTTCCGACATTGTCGCTGCGCGGCGTTGTCGCCTCCGGCGGTATCCGCCAGGAGATAATTGTCGGTTTGTCCTGCACGCAGAGAAAGAGATAGCCGTTAATGATGCCGAGTACCCTTACTCTCCCTTGCCACTTTGAACTCGCCTTTTCCTATCGATTTTCCCCACCCAAACAGACCGTTCGCGCTCCGGCTGCTCGAAGGAGAAACTGTCGCTTCCCATAACATCGTCCGGTGAAAACTTTCTTTGGCGTGCGCGCGATCCCTTCGCGATTATCGTAATTATTTCTTACGAAATAACAAAAGAAAGTTTTAGTCCATTCGATGCCGGTGGAATACGTTAATTCATTACTTCGTTCTTTTGAGAACTGGGTAATTTCTTTTGCCGAACTGCTAAAAATGAACGGAAATATAGTACAATGACGAGCATGCATTGTCGCGTGCAATTTAATTCGTTATTAAATTACTAATTATATCAATAGCGTCCGCTATTAATAATAAACAAAACCTAATCTTTAGTTACGACATCGCAACTTCCTTATTTTGTAATAAAAATGTTACATAAAGTTACGAAAGGGAGATGTGTAAAATGCAAATATTTCTTCTAAAATAAGGATGATTTTATACATATTGAATTTCTTATTGAATATATTCAGACTTGGCACAAACATCGGAACAGTTCATTTTGAGAAGTTTGTTTGCGCCATCTTGTGACGAGACGTCGTAGTATCTTTTGGCGGGACGCGTTGCACCCAAGAGACGCCATTACGAGCATTACGACGCCTAAGCTGCAAAAGCGCGCCAAAACTACGTTACACGTAACAAAGCATTTTAACAGCAAAATGCAAGAAGTAGTAATCCAATATGTTAAGTTCCTTACTACAAATTTTTCTGTATGCCACGATTAAAGATCTAAGCGTTCTTGTTGATCAATATAGAGAGTCAATAGAATGAATCCTGCACATACATAACTGGTTTTTTTGGGAGACCAATTAAGAACAAAGTGATGAGAGTATTACTCCTACAAGTTATAAATTAAGAAAGTAAAATTGAAAACACCAGACATCTCAACGTAAGACAATTTTTGGCCCTGAAAAGGGCCGATTGAATCAGAGCAGTTTAAGCACGCTCTCCACGGATTCGGCGGGCCAACTGGATGTCCTTGGGCATGATGGTAACCCTCTTGGCGTGAATGGCGCAAAGGTTGGTATCCTCGAACAAGCCGACGAGGTAGGCTTCGCTAGCTTCCTGAAGGGCCATGACGGCCGAGCTCTGGAAGCGAAGATCGGTCTTGAAGTCCTGAGCGATTTCACGGACCAGTCGCTGGAACGGAAGTTTGCGAATCAGAAGCTCGGTGCTCTTCTGGTAACGACGGATCTCGCGTAGAGCGACAGTTCCAGGACGGTAACGGTGAGGCTTCTTCACGCCACCGGTTGCGGGAGCGCTCTTGCGCGCCGCTTTCGTCGCCAACTGCTTACGTGGGGCCTTGCCACCGGTGGATTTGCGAGCGGTCTGCTTAGTTCTTGCCATCTCGAACGAAAACTGATGTCTTAGCTGTCCGTATACTGCGATGAACTTAAGCGGTATGTGCGCTTGGCCAGAAACGCTGCGCTTATATGGAATCGCTGGCCCCGCACGCGGGACGCTGATTGGCTGGCGCGATAGTGGTAGGGATACCACGCAGAACTGGCTGTATAGCCAACGCTTAGGGAAGGGACTGCGAATTCTGATTTTGTTTGGCGGTATTCCAGTGCATTTAGAGTATAAGTAGCTAAAATGTTTGGTCTGACGCCTCGAAATATTCCAGTGATATGAATAATTACAATAGTTTTGTAGAAACTTCAAAAATAAAAGTTTATGGTCAATTTAGAGTATTTGAGGAGCGTTCAAATTTGAAATGAAACTTGCCGAAAAAAAGCAAGAAACTTAATTTAAAAAACTAGCAATTTGTTCGGCTTTAAAAGTTTTTCATTTAACTATATGTATATATTTTTGTGATATTCGATACTATACTATTGTATTGTTTTAATAAGCACAAAAGATATTAAATAATACCGAAGAAATATAGATATTAAATGTTTTAATAATGTATATAAAAAAATATAAGCTGAATTCGATATTATTCTTCAATCTTTGTTTCCCGCGCATGCGCAAGTTGAATTCTATAATTTTTTTCAAGATTTCGATTTAAACATATTGTTTACTTTGATCTTTTTATACGCGACTTAAAAATTACGATATACGTCGACATCAAAATTTAATATTTAATTTGGTTGTTGACCTAAAACGTTGGTTACGTTCAGTAGGATGTAACAGTTCAGTAATCGTTTTATGATCGTCTACTGAGATAAGACCATTCCTCTGGTTCTAAAAGTATAATCCAATCAATTCGAAAAAATCTTCCAACAGGTATAAAATAAACGTTCTATTGAATTGCAGCTATTGATTCTAGCTGAATTAGATAGATATCACTCTTCAGTCTTTGTTTCCGCGCATGCGTAAGTTGAATTCTATGCCCTCCACTTAAGCTGTGTTCGATAACATTACCCGGGTAACCTCGTATATTATCTTATCCTTGTCTAACATTGGGTGAGCAACAAAGATAAAACGATAACACGAAGGCATTCGGGGAACGTTTCCGAATGCAGTCAGTGACACAGGTCGACATGAGAATTCAATTTTTCTTTACATTTAGTAAATATAATGTTTTAAGACATTAATATAATCCTTTGATTGGTTCGTGGCATCTTAAGACGATCTGAAATATAAGAACCGACTATAAATATCGACCTCAAGAGATTTTATGATATTAGAAATCGTTATATTTCTATGTTTGGAATATTACATTTTCTTACGTTTTTCTTCATAAAAACAGAAAATTATCATCATAATGATGCTATAATTCTAATTTCTTTTAATATGACATTTGTTATAAAAAGTTTTAATAATTTTATGATAACTTTAAAACTTGGAACCATCATGAGATACATTATATTGAACTATTATTGTTTTTTAACTAATCCTCCTTATTAATTATTTTGTATTTTGTTTTATATAGATATATCGAATATAAAGTATTAATGATTAATGATAACGAATTAAAAATTAGTCTCCTATGAAAATGGTTAAAAGCTTTAAAGCCCTGTGTCCACATTCTTGGATCCAGGAATGTGTAGCTAATCAATGTATAGTTTTTTCGGACAAAAAAAAACGGCAAGGTTACACAGTTCTAGCATCGTGGACACAGAACTTAAGACTTTAAGTGATACGACAAATGACGAAATTTCTTTTCTTTATTCGGACTTTGTGCCATAATTAATAGACTCGTGGCATTAATACCTATCATTTTAAGTTGTACACGTATTGAAGAAAACTTGAGAATGAAGGCATGAAAAGGCATAACGAGGCATTAATGACCATGTATGTACATTTATTACATATGTAAAACGTATATATTTACATGTCTATACATAACATAAATTATAGATTTTTTTAGACTAAAAAATATATTAGAACATTGCCTAAACATAAGCAATGCTTAATGCTTATTTGGATTTAAAATATTTGAATTTAATGAACAGGATTAAACTCACAATTTATTACTAAGTATCAATGCAAAACTGGTGCAAGAGTAATAAAACATTGTTCTCATAGTAATATAATATTCGAATTGCGGTAAATTCATGTTCATGTATAAAATATGTACATATGTAAATATATAAATAAGATAATGACATCAATGTCAATGTCGATTCCAAATGACTCATCAGAGAGAGTCCAAATTAAATAGAAAAAGTCACACACACACACACACATCTCATTTATCTATAAATTATTTAATTATACAAAACCATATTTTTCAAAAGACTAATTTTTAATTTACTTTTAATTATCGATATATTGGATAGAATGGATTTTTTGTCTAGGGTTAGTTCGATCAACGATGACCTTTATATATATTTAATTATATAATACATATATTTAAACAACACATATTTAACATTTAAAAATCGTGCTGACGCTTTTAAATAAGAAGCAGTCATGTTGAGTAATGTAGTTGTAAGCACATCACTGTAAAGAGAAATTGTTTGCTAAAGCTTTTGCGATTGAAGGTAAATATAATCATTATCATTTAGTAGTAAAATCTTTATATTATCTAGGCCGTAAGTTTTGTATGTGAGCGAATAAAATTGTAGTCAGTATTCATTAAATTTTTTAGGATGATAGTACAAAAATTACCTCTGAATCATTAATTATTTTCTTGCGTTATTGGATTTTAAAGATGATTCTAATTTTTTTCAAAAAATTTTATCTTTGTACTTCTATATCTTAACAAAGATTATCTTATTATATTTCTTAAAATTACGCGTTATACATAGTCTGTAGCTCGATAAAAAATTTATTATCGAGCTGAAGATTGTTAAATGTATAATTGTAATCTTATAGAAATAGAACAAGATGATCTATATTAAAATATAGAACTGTTAAGAAAAAAATTTCTAAAAAACGGTTAAAAGCGTGTTAAAATAAGTTTCAAGCGTTAAAATGTTTATATATATTTTTATCTGTTATAATTTTTCATCAAATTACGATGCTCTGTACAGTTTTAAGTGTTTTACAAGTGTTCTCTATTTTTTGTTGAGTTGAAAAGTAATAACTAAGCAATAATAATGTATTAACATGATTTCTTTCATAAAACTATTAAATCTTTCAACAAATATATCAAAAAATATAACCTTCATCAGCATTTAATGTTTTACGATGTAACATTATATTGTAATGTCATTTGGTGTTCGATTCAATTTTAGAATTATTAAAGCATAATTTACAATGACTTCGTAACAAAATACGAATCTGTAAACTTTATTTCAATGTATTGATTTTTTTTTTTTTAAGTGACTTTAGAGTCTTAATATTATAACATTCTTTATAAAGAAAAATACGTCGACGATATAAGAATAAAATGATTCTTGACCGGAAACTCCTTAAAGTGGTTTCTTTTAATGATAATTTAGTATACAAGTAGCTTACAATAATGATATATTGGAAGTGCCATGACTGCTATCTCTAACGTATCAGTCTTTGTCTGCTATACTGTGATATACATGCGTTAATTATTATACATACAAACATTACACAATTTTAAAATTTTAATGTTATTAAAGTATGTAAAATTAGTTAAATATATTTACCTATCTAACAAATGTATAAACAGATTTTACAAACAAAGATATACATGTATATATGTGTGTGTGTGTGTGTTGAAAAGACTTTTATTATATTATTCAGATTAGCTTTATATTTCTAATATGTTCTGAATGAATAGATACATTTTATTAGATATGTTTGCTTACGCCTATGGCACTTACATAAGTACAGATAAAGTAGGGAGAAACTTTTGTATGCTAATTGTGAGCCTAGTATTCACAATCAGATCATATATTTAAAACTATCTTAAGTACAATATTAAGATACTATAAACCAGTCACAGAGACGATCTTGAAGTAAGAACCGACTATAAATTACCAACAACCTATAATTAAACTCTTCAATAATGTGTATGTGTGAAACAACTTGTTATTGAACTCCTGATAATTTTACAGTTGTTTTCGTGAATATTTATGAATAAGTACAAAGATCTTCTATTAACTGAATTAAACAACAACACACTACAAAAAGAACTTTGTTTCGTAGCTGTTTAATTATACTTTGTAATAATTTCCATCCATAGATAATATATGCCTTAAAGTCTGCGTATTACGTATTTACTGATTATTACGTCATACATAATACTTGTAAACGCATAGTAATAGCGATTCAACATCAGTCTTCAGCGAGTACGAGTCGCGTGTATAGATATTGACATCTGCGCTTCACGATTTTCAGTATCCATCTTTTTCGGTATTTTTTTTTAAAAAAGCTATATGTTAATTATGTATTTATCTACACTCCGTTCCGCTCTACGCCGTACACAGCAAAAACTAACCGCAATGTGCCAATTACATTTATATGCATCGCGTCTTCATCACTGCACGGGTCCACTGACACAGTTTACAGACGATGAACTCATGACGAAGGAAATGGTTGCTAAACTGGCCAAGCAAGAGATCGCTCCGCTCGTACGAAAAATGGAAAGGGAAGGAATGATAGACGACAGCGTGTTTCAAAAGCTATTCGAGAACGGCTTGATGAGTATCGAAATTCCGACAGAGTACGGTGGAACGGGAAGTAACTTTATGAGCACGATTTTAATCATTGAGGAAATCTCCAAAGTCGACGCGGCAGTATCCGGATGTATCGATATTCATAACACTTTGGTAAATTCATTTATTCTTAAGGTTGGATCCGAAGAACAAAAGCAGAAGTATCTACCTAGACTAGCCCGGGATTCCATAGGCAGTTTCTGCCTATCGGAACCTGGTTCGGGATCGGACGCTTTCTCCTTGAAAACCGAAGCAAAGGAAGACGGAGCCGAATACGTGATCAACGGTACGAAAATGTGGATATCGAATTCCAATGTAGCGCAGATTTTCGTGCTTTTCGCCAACGCGAATCCCGCCGCCGGTTATCGCGGCATCACGGCCTTCATCGTAGACCGTGATACGCCAGGTATGACGGTGGGCAAATGCGAGGACAAGTTAGGTATCAAAGCGTCGGGCACATGTATGGTACACTTCGACAACGCTAGAATACCTAAAGATAATCTGTTGGGAAAATTCGGGCATGGATATAAATACGCGGCTGGATTTCTGAATGAAAGTAGAATCGGTATTGGTGCACAGATGATTGGCATAGCACAGGGATGTTTAGACGCGACCATACCGTATACGTTGGAAAGGAAACAATTTGGACAGGAAATTTTCTCCTTCCAAAGCCTGCAGCATCAAATAGCTCAAGCGGTGACGGAATTGGAATGCGCCAGATTGCTCGTTTACAATGCAGCGAGATTGGTGGAAACTAAAAAGGACGTCATGAAGGAAGCGGCTATGGCGAAACTTTTCGCGTCCGAAACCGCGTGTCGTATCACTGGAAAGTGCATAGACTTTATGGGAGGTGTCGGCTTTACGACTGATTTTCCTCAAGAAAAATATTATAGAGATGTAAAAGTTGGTACCATTTACGAGGGTACAAGCAATATGCAGTTATCGACGATTGCGAAATGTATTCGCAAGAAATATTCATAAATGATGATAAAAGAGAATACAATTATTCCTCAGATTATGATTATTCCTTAAATTATTTCGAGGCTGATAATCAGGGTATAGTTAGTATTTTCAAATGTTTCCATTCGTTGAAAAATATTACTAAAAATTATTAAAATCTACTTTACTCAAATAGAACAAAGTAGATTTTAATAATTCTTCGTTTATTTATCGACGATTTACCATACATATCCGTCGATTGATTTTTGCTTATTAATATTTATTAAGCACATCATATTTTATGAAAACTTTTTTATGATGATACAGCATATACCATATATGTAATTAAAAACATATTTTTATACTTTTATATAAGTTATCTAAATTAGAAAATAAACAGGTAACAATGTAATAAATAAATATACTTTAAATGTTTTTTATTGAATTGCTGTATAATAATCTTTAATATTGTGTATATATATAAGTGTAATTGCATAAGTAAAGAAAATTTTGCACAAATGCGAATGGTTAAATTTAGAAATGTAATTTCACAAAAGGTAATAATCTAAAACGTAGAAAATATAAAATATTAAAAATAGAGGCAGTTCATTAAAATACGATATTTTGTAAACATTGAAGAGAGTTGAAAATATGACCAAGCAGAACAAAAAGTTATCATAACAGCAAAATAGCTTAGCTATAATAATGTATTCTACTTTACGGATTCAATCTAAAAAATAAAAAAAGTAATAGGTCAAATCAATCTTTTTATATAAAATCTGTTTATATCCTATTCCTTATCATAAATATCCTACAAATGACATCAATATTTGAGATTTATACTTAAATTAATATTACACACATTCTCTCTCTCTCTCTCTTATAATTTATATACGTTAACATAAAATACAAACGCTATATCAATATTAGTATCAGAATTGTAACACGACAATATTCCAACAGACATTCTAGAGAAATAATATTCTGAATGTTCAGACATTTGAAGTTAATGATGTATTATAGAATGTATATATGAATACAATGACGAATTCATTATAATTTTACGCGTGGACTTTTTCTTAACATCAAAAAATATGTAAATTGAATTTGAAATAATTTATTTATTGTTTCACTAGCGGAATACTTCACAGTTGTAAACAGTTAAGAAACAAATTATTTGTATTATTATGACTACTATATCGCCCTGTTGATACAATGTGTGTTTCACACATATATGCAAGGCGATATTAATTTTTTTTACTTTAGTAAATATTACAAACAAACATATTTGAGAGGAAATTGTTTAGTAATAATAAAATTTCAATATTAATAACTTTGATATATTACTATAACTATTAATACTAACTTACTTTAATAGTAAATGGAAGCTTGTCATAAAATATGTCCACAACTGATTTTAAGAAGGCAACATGTTATTCCGAAATTTAGAATTATCGTCATTTTAAAAGTATGTAAATTAAATTTCTACTTTGTTAATAAATATTATTTTGAAAAAAACGATTAACAGGGATACATTATGGAATCGATTTTTTTCATGTCTTGGATAGAACGTATCACGTAGCTGTGGCGTAAACTATACGCGGTATTCGTTCGCCAACTCTGTAGATATGTATTTTAAGACTAATTTTATGAATAATTTGTAGCGTTTATTATAAATTTTAAAATAGACGATGATAAAAGTTGTAAATCGTTGAATCGATTTGCATTATATACCATTAGGCCAAGAAGTAACAAGGCCATTTTGCTTCGCGTACGTTATGCGCTCGCGTATCCCGAGAGGCCGTGAATTAAACTTCTTATTTTCGGGATCTGAGCCGTTATCGGATGGAAACGATTAATCGAGGCTGTGGGGCCATTCCGTCGGCACATTTTTCTAAAGGAGCAACATTGAAAATGTTCATGGAAAAGCTCAATTTTTATGTTTTTCCATAAGCTACAGATCGGCGTGAAAATACGTGAGCATTGAAATGCAATCGTAGACGCAAGCGGATAATTGTGGCAACATTTAACGAAAACGAAAATAAAACCGCATACACGTGGCTACGTATTAATTTACCCCACATATTCCTACCGATTTTAATTTTATAGAAATAACGTCGCAAAGTCGAAGTACGTTTACCGCTTCATCGTGTTCCACGAAACGAACGTGTCGACATCTCGGGCAGGTCTCTCTCCGTGGTCCGTGCGAGGCATACTACAGCACGGTGTTAAACCCGAGAGCTCAACAATCTGACTATTCTGCAATCTGCATTCTGTGGGATATTAGGATATTCTGTAGGACGATTGTTTTAGACAAGACAGCGTACTTTGTGAAGATGGAGGACAAGGTCAGTGGAAATACAGCTGTTGAAGCCGCCGAGAGTAACGTCGCTGTTACTAAGAAGGCCAGTAAAAGTAAGGTTAAGTCGCAGCAGAAGAAAATATCGTCGCGGCCACCAACCAGCGAGATGGTGACAGCAGCTATCAAAGAGCTGAAAGATCGCAAAGGCTCGTCTTTCCAGGCGATCAAGAAATACGTAGTGTCGACCTACAAAGTGGACGGCGAGAAGGTTGCTCCGTTTATCAAGCGATACCTGAAGACCGCCGTTTCGGCAGGTGCTCTCGTGCAGACTAAAGGTAAAGGTGCTACCGGCTCTTTCAAATTATCAACAGACAAGCCTAAGCCCACCAAATCAAAGGGAAAGGCGCAACGTGCCTTAAGCAATTCGCGCGTATTCGCTGACGCGAAGAAGGACGCACAGGCAGAAAAGGCTCCGCGGAAACCAGCTGCCGCAAAGAAAACTACCACCGCTAAGAAAGCTGCGGCCAGTCCGAAGAAACCAGCCGCTCAGAAGGCTGTGGCGAAGACTACCGGGAAAAAGGGCAAGGCTGCCACGGAATCCAAGTCACCATCAAAGGCGAAGAAGACGGTTAAAGCACCTGCAGCGAAAACAAAAACACCCAAGCCGAAGAAAGCGAAAACTGTGAAGGCTGCAAAAAAATAATTCTCTGTTGAATGCACTCACTCTGCAGTCAAATGGCCCTTTTCAGGGCCCAAATTATTTCTAACGAGGAATAACTCAAATGCTCGCTATTTTTATCTCGCTTTATTATTTCTAACCCTTAAATTATTTTATTATCTTAGATATTTTAATTAACGTGACAAACGTACTGATGATATAGTAGTAAAATTATATTTATAAAAACTAGTTTCTACAGAAAGGTGTTATATGGTTAATATTTCATATGAAAGATGACATTTATTTCATATGATACATATGTACATGTTTATTTTCTAGAATGAATTTTGTATATTTATTTTATACATCTTCCGTGTTAGGAACTTTGTATGTTTCTTAAAAGTATTCTTTCTCTCTTTAATTGTAACTTTAATATAAGTAACTTGATTTTTTCTTGTTCCATTCTAATTTTGTTCTCCTCTTCTTCTCTAATAAGCTGAGCGCGAAGAATTTTCAATTTTAATATGTTTTCTCTTCTTTTAAATTCAGTGTTATTAGATATTATATTGTTAGTTGTTTGATCATTGCTAGAAAAGTTTTCCCGTTTCTTATGTAAAGGTTCAGTTAGTTCGGTAACATCGAAAGATGACTTTTCGGATGCGTTGGCAACGTTCGTCGAATTTACCGGGACACTTGTACTTTGCACACAAGTGTTAATTCTGAAAACAGACGTAATTTCATTATTTTATTGTTTTATTTCTATTTGTCACTTTTAATATATCTAAAGTTTCAATATATACATATAAACATCTAAAAAAAATGTTGAACAAATATTAAAGATTGAGATTTTTACAATAAAAACTTTGCATTTATTAAAACCGGTTAGACACGAAATTTTATAGAACTGAATTACGTATTATGTTCCAAATTTATAATACCTTGTTTCCTCATATGTCTTTGGCAAATCTTCAGTATGTGGTTCCACTTTAATCTAATGAAAGAATTAATGAATATATAAATAAAACGAAATATTTAAATAATTCATATGTTGATTACCTTTATATTATCTAATATTTCATTTGTATAATTTGTAGATTTCTCAGTGAATTGAAGTGAGTGAGGAACATTATAAGATTCACTAAAATTAAATAATTTATATGATTAACCACATGTATATATTTATATTATATTTAGATATCTTTTGTTGTTTTGTTGATTGCAAGAATTATTCGAATTTTTTAACTATATGTACAAATTAATTTTGAATATCAATAAATAAAATTCTAAAAATTTTATTGATATACAACAAAAGACATTAACAGACTTTTATGTTAAATTTAGAGTCATTAAAATGAAGAAATTCTAATGTATTCTATTGAGACTAGAATAATGACAAGATTTAGATATAGAAAAATAATATGACGTACGTACCTGTTAACGTCAAAAGCATGTGATACATTAGACAGTTCATCGTACTCGTTTGTAACAAACTAATACATAACAAATATATGAATGTTTACATTTGTACTTATGTAAATAATTATTTATTATATATTTTTTGTTTATAAATATATGCGTGCCATTAAATTTATATATAGCTAAATACATTACAATTTAAACAAGATCATAATGTTGAAGATTTGAATTATATTGTAATATTAATTCTATGCAAAATTTAACTTACAATTAAATATAATTAACTTACATAAATATAATGTTGTTCAAAAAGTATAATTTATATATATATATATTAATTTGTATTATTTATATTAAACTTATATCAAGATTTCTTTGTATGTATTATATATTATAAAAAAATTTTCCTCATTACAATTTATAGAAAAATTATAAATACTCTATATATATATATATTTTTTTTTTTCAATTAATTTTGTTTAAAAAAAAACTACGTTGCTCTTGCGTCCCTGTTTCACTTACATTATTTTCGGATTCATTCGAATAATTACTCTCATAATCTTCAAAATTTTGGGAGCCTATATTAAGTATCATTTGATCAAATTCCGTTGGTGCCATATTCGCTGATAAATTGTCACCCCATTTTTCGAAAGCAGTGACATTTTTTTTGGCAAACCACTTCCACCTTTGATATGCATGGCGCACTTCTTTCCAATCTCGCACAACTCCGAATTCAGCCTTCAATTTCTCGGTTAAATCTTGCCATTTGTCTCGTTTTCTCGAGAATACTACCGAGGTGTTGCTCTTGTTTTGAAAGATTTTCAGATTTTCGTTCACATATCGAACAACGAATGCCTTCTCCTCTCGCGAAAAGTTTTCGTTCCTTGGTCTTCTAATCATTAAGTGTAAAAATGGTGGCCAAACGATATTAATGAGATGACCAAGAATTATAAACCTCTCTTTGTCTTCCAATCGTGCTCACGTATCCGCGTATTCAAGCGTTCAAAACCGATCGCTCACTTCAGAGAGCTTTCTCTTTATCTGCAGCAGTGGAAGCTACGTACTGACTGTATTATAGGGCAAGAGCCGAGACCACAGGCTTTTGCATAACGTGGAAGAGAGAAAATCGACCAATCATAGTCCCTCCTTTCACGGAAAGGAAGAACCCTCAGGCTGGTATTCATAGTCGGTTCTTATATTTAAGACCGTCTTAAATAGTCTTAAGATGTCATAAGCCAATCACAAAGCAGTATTAGCAGGGCCGCATTAATTCTTTTTGCTTCTAGGGGCTAGAAAATATTCGAGCCATTTTTTACAAAATATGTGACCCGGGTAAAATGTTTTTCAAAAGTTATATTATATTAATTTAAAAATTTATTTTTTCAACATCTTGTCTTTAAAAATCTTATATTTGCAGTATGAAAAAAACAAATACAAAAATTGAAGAATGTTAGACAGTAATTAAAATAATTACTTTTTTACATTTTAATGTAGAAAATACACGGATAATATTATAATTTATGGTAAGTTTGGAATTTGATTTTCAATTCGATATGGAGAACAAAGCAAATTTTATCCTTTAGTATAAATCATGTTTCACTATATATTATCTTGTCTAACTAGTTCATCGACTCAAAATCGTTTATTTCAATGATTAATAAACAAAATTTTGTCTAAAAGTCGCTGCCGTAAGCACATCATCCATGCTTAATACGGTACTGCATACAAACATCTTAAAATATTACTTAAGACTGTCTTAAAATAAGAACAGACTATAAATATCGACCGAATTGTTGATTTTTTTATACCTTATAGCAAAAGTCTGTGCTCTGCTCAACAACGTGAACAATTCAACTGTCACATTTATCACTAACGTTAAACGTAAAAATGCATTAATATAGATTATAAAACTTCAAATACGTCAAATTGATAAAACCCATTCGAATTCAAAAAGATGCATTAATATAGGTTAACATTACTGTTACCATGTCTGCAATTTAATTAACTAGTTAATAGTACAGGACGTATTGAAATCACCCATAGCAATAAGTTTGAATTGAAATAAAATTAGTTTTTACCGCGACTAATAAAAATTAAATCAAAGGTTAAAGGAAAGTATAAATTCTTTATTTCTTAAATACTTTAATTTCTAATATCCAATAAAAGTTCTGGTAAATGTCTAGTATAACACTCTTCTCCTTTTCTTTTTGGTTTGTTAATTTGTGTATTAATGAATAAAAGATTCAGGGGAAAAATCAAAATTGTTTAATGTCAGCAAGTTACAAAATAATTTTTTAATAATTCTTTGGTTTTAATGAAAAAATAAAATAATATATAGTATTGTATCACAGCATAGTTCGAGATTAAAGTTTATAACTTCAATTTTTATGTGAACACTAACATTTTTTAATTTGAAAAAATGGAATTTAATTAAAGATTACTCACTTCAAAATATATACTTTACACCACTAAAGGTACGTAAATTGTACAAATATATCGCTTGGAGAAAATCCCGACGTGTGAAAAATTGTTGGCCCTGAAAAGGGCCGTTGTAATTTGATTTTGAAAGTGGTAGATCGAATTAACCACCGAAACCGTAGAGAGTTCTTCCCTGACGTTTCAGAGCGTAGACCACGTCCATAGCTGTTACAGTCTTCCTCTTGGCGTGTTCGGTATAGGTTACGGCATCACGGATGACGTTTTCCAGAAAGACTTTCAGGACACCTCTGGTCTCTTCGTATATCAAGCCAGAAATACGCTTGACACCGCCACGTCTTGCCAATCGACGAATGGCTGGCTTGGTGATACCTTGGATGTTATCACGCAAAACCTTCCTGTGGCGCTTCGCTCCTCCTTTTCCCAATCCCTTTCCTCCCTTACCACGACCAGTCATTTTGAATAACGCTTAACTGCACAAGTACGATACTAACGCCTCGAGAACTCAGCAGAAAGTGATACGGAACGTTCGGTCGGCCGTGCTTATATAGATGGGATGCAGCACGTAGTATCCCCACCCTCATGCCGGTAGCCAATCAGCGCCGTTGTAGCTGTAGCATAGTAACGTAAACCCGTAATGCTGGAATCGTACGGAGAAATATTGCTTATTCTTTTTCTTTTGGAAGGATCATTTTATTTTATTACGATGGTTGATTTTAACATTTTTTTATCTGCAATCTGCATTACTTATTAAAAATATGTTGATTATTAAGTTTTTATAACATTGAAAAATAATATGTTCATAACGTCAATAATACAACTTATTGATACGTACTACTGATACGTACTGAATTGATTGATATTTTTTTCTACATTCTGATGTCATCGATATTATAGTTGCATCTATATAATTTTATTGACTACATCTACATAGTATATCAATAATTTAAAATTATACGCACTACATGATATCTCATTTTAATAAAACATGTTATATATTACAAAGCATTTTAATGTTTATATTTGTACCAAATTTGGAAGTAATCGAAATGTATTCAGTTAAATAGATTTACTATATAAAATAAATTTACAATTAGCACAAGATTATAAACTTTAGAATATATATACTTTTTAATCAAATAAAAACTAATAAGATATAAGAAAGAAAACTAATAAGATATAAAAAAGAACTTAAAACATATCTTCTTCAAAAAATGTCATTAGTATAATGTACTTAATATTGTTATTTATAATTTACATTTACGTTATTTGAATTGAAAAAGGTTGTAACTATACCTAAATTTATCTTTAACGAAACAAGCATTTTATAAATAAAAGTGTATTATCATCTCCAATTGATGAATTTGTTAATAAATCATAACGATAGTAGGCGCGATAAAAAGAATTAAAAAATAAAATGAATTAATAAAGAAAGGAACTCTGTTTACAGACTTCATTTACAATTCGCTAAAGTACACATCTCATCGAAGACTTTAAGAAATCAGCATGTACACGACGTACAAGATAAAACTGTAATGATCACTGGAGTAGCTGGAGGATTAGGCTATAAGTATGCCGAGATACTGCTTCACAATTAGGGTGGCCAACCGTCCCGAATTTTGCGGGAAATCCCGATTTTCGACTCTTTTAAAGGCGTCCCGAAAGAACCCTAAGCGGGACGCTATTTGTCCCGATTTTAGTGATATCACACGCCACACTGCAAATTGGTCATTGTCATCGACGTCACCGTCATCAGTGTCGTCAGTGACGAGACAGATATTTGTCAAGAATTCTACAAATATGTTCGAGAAAATAAGAATATGTTGAAATGTACAGTCACAAAAAAAATATTGTTTTAAGCTTTAAAGTATTGTATTTCAAACATATTGTTATGTTTTGTTGTGATATTTAATTTCATGTCATTTAATTTTATAAATACATTTCATAAATAAGAATAAATTTAATAATATATATATTTTATTTATTGAATGATAGTTAATAAAGGGATCACGTATTGCGTTATATATTACAAGGTGCCTTCGTAACGTTTTGTAATTTTTTTCTTTCTTTCCCTCTCTTTTTTTTTACTTATAACCTTGTGTCCCGAATTTTGGGGATGTGTCCCGAAATTTTAAGGTTCACATCCCGAAATCAACTATTCAAAAGTTGGCCACCCTA